CGCCGTGCGCCCGGGGGCTGCGCTGGGCGGGTGAGCGGTGGGGCTGGGGCGGGCAGGCCCCTACGGCCAGGCCCCGGCGGCGCCTCCACAGGCCTCGCTGGGCCGCGGGCGGGGAAGGAGGGTGAGAGGGAGGGTGACTGGAAACCCACGGCACTCGGGGCGGCCCCGGGCTCCTGCCCGGGCCGGTGTCACGTTCGTAGGGGCCTCCTGGTCGCGGTGGGTGGTTGTTGGTTTCCCTCCCGGCGCCTTACGGCCCGTAGCGGGGCAGGGCGTGCTGAAGGGCAGAGCGGGGTGTGCTGGGCCTGAAACATCTCCTCTTCCCTCAGGTAAATTGTATCAACATGGCACAACAGAGGCCTCCCAGGCCACCTTAGCGAGCGTGGCTCCGGTTTTTGCCGTGGTGAGTACGTGGGGGTGTTCCCACCAAGGAGGGAAACTTGTGCAAGATGATGGCACTCTGTTTTTGGTCTGTTTTGGTGTTGTTTTTTTCTTAAAAGCATCATAACTGCAGATGGGTTCCTCTCCGGCAGAACATCCCCAGTTCTAAGTTGTTGGTTTAAGGTATTCTGAGCTGAGGACCAGCTGTGGTACATAGCCATCATCCAGATGTTTTTCTAAGATCCAGCACCTGCTGGAAGTTCTGGTGCTTTAGTTGTGAAGGCAGGTCAACTCCTAGAGCTGCTTAGGTTTGTTTAATTGACAGAAAGTTGTTTTGAAAGCCAGTAATTTGGAATTAAGCTCCGTGGTTTATGAGCAAAAGAGAAAACTTTCTGATTAAACCAGACATTGCAGTTTTTCCAGTAAAATAATTTTACTAGGAGATAGAAGTGTGTTAGATGAATAATCTGAATAACAGGTGCTAAGATAAGAAGGGTTGAGTTGCAGGTTACTAGCTGAACAGCTTGTTAATGCTATAATCGATGTGGGCAGAAGGCCTGACTACCCAGTTTGTGGTCATCTTTGCTTTTTAAACTTGTAGATTTTTCAGATTGCTCCAGAGGAAATAGCAAAAATCTATAATCTGAAATGTAAGATGCCTTGCTGATTGCTTCTGCCTGGGGTCCAGTGATAGGACACGTAGGAATGGTTCAAAGCTGTGCTGGGGGAGGTTTAAACTGGGCATTAGGAAATATTTCTTTACCAAGAGGGTTCTCAAATCCAGGGACAGGATTCCTGAAGGGGTGGTCGATGCCCCGTGCTGGTCAGTGTTTAAGAGGCACGTGGACAGTGCCCTTAAAAACAGCCCTGAATTGGTCTGGCAGTGTGACTCGAGGACTGTTGGGGGTCCCTTCCAACTGAAACAGTCTATTCTATTCTAAGCCTGATCCTCTGTAAATCATCTCCTTCCCAGGGTTTATGTCAGAACATGGTCATGTGGCTGACACTGTTTTTGTTTGGTGTGTGTACAAACACAGTGAAATATACCATAATTTGGTGCAGCAGTTTTCTTAATTGGAATGAACTGTGAAAACAAAGCATAAAAAGTTGATTTTTTTTTCATAACGCATTTCCCATCTGACTTCTAGGCAAGTGCAAACAATTTTAGAAATCGATTTCTTGTTTTATAGTAGATTTGTCATTTTTTTCTTTTTCCCACTCCTTTAGATGAAGCTTGACAAAGAGGGAAATGCTACCTTTTTTGGTGAGTTTTTGTTGTGGTGTTGGTTGGGTGGGTTTTGTTTGTCTGTTTTCCTTCTCCAAACAGAAGAGTCCTTTTGGGAATCTGCCAGGGGTAGAAAATTATATTGGGGATACTTCATTGTGTTTATTTGGGATGTTGCAATGTTTCTTCTGTTTTGCTGCTTTCTGTTGGTCTTCACAGCATCTTTATTGATACATTATTTGTATATTTTAAGTAATATTTTAAAAATAACATACACAATCTCTCACAGGAAGGTCCTTTTTACTTTGTCTTTTCCCTTTCTGACCAGCATGTTGCTGTCCCTGCCTTGGTTTCTGATATGAAGTTAATTGTCGTGGCCTTTTCACTTATATCTAGAATTTTCCTCTTTCCACTCAAGATACAGTCTTCTAAACTTCATAAAAAATAAATTACATTGAGGAATCAATGGGAGGAGAACTGTTTTAAAGATAGCACAGGTTTTGTCTGTCTTTTGATGGACTTAGTAGTCCACTAAAATGTAATTTCAGATCATGCATGCTTGTCCCTTCAATGTCTTCATCTAAAAATACTTTTATGGTAGAAAAGAAGAAAACAGAATTGTACCAGGAATTGGGTCTTCAGGCTCGAGATCTAAGATTTCAACACGTAATGAGCATTGCAACTAGGAACAACAGGATCATCATGAGAATGGAGGTAACGGTTCCCCTACAGCTGAGTGTAAACTTGAACCGTGTCTTATCCTTGCACTTGTGTTTTCTTGCATGGTTTTTTTAATACCAGCTCTCTGTGACGTGCAGTCCAGCAGGAAGTGTGTCTTTGGAGCTCTGGGTTTGCCAACAGTACGTGTTAATGACCATTTTCCTGGTTGAGCACAGGAGAAGCATTACTGACGTTGTCAGAGAAGTAGAATCTCACGAGGAACCTTTTCTCAATGCTGGCACAGTGCTGGGTCTGAACCCTGGGCAAGCCACTAGTTTGCAGTTGGCATTAGATTCTCTTATTTTCCTGCCTGAAAAGACGTTTGAAGAGTGGCTTTATTGAAGCCTAAATTATCAAATGCAGTACAGAGCTGTGAGAGATCTTCAGAGAGGTTGTTTTTCTTTCAGACTTCTACATGTACTGTCTTTTTCAGTTCTTGAAGGCTGTCGTAACACCAGAGTTTCTTCTGATACTAGATTATCGTAATTTAAATCTGGAACACTGGCTCTTCAATGAACTAACATCTCAGCTGGCTGGGGAAGGTCAACTAGTTACATATTCCCTGCCTTTTGAATTCCGAGCCATAGAAGCAATCCTGCAGTACCGGGTGAGCTGTCTCTTATTTATATTGGTTTTGGAAGTTGTTGCTTCATAGAAAGGACAGTATGATTTTATTCTTGTGTTAATATTTATACACACGCATTTGTATATGTATTCCGTTGTTATTGTAGGAGTTCCTTTTTGGTTTTCATTTTTGTTGCTTTAGTTTTTATGGTTTTGTGTGTATGTGTGTTTCCATTCCCTTCCCAAGAAAATACTAATTGGATGCGATGCCTTCACCGTCATTTGGTGAAGAATTAAAAACGATGAATTAAAAAAAACAAGTCAGAGTACCTTTCTGGAGACACGCTGTAGCTGAAATGGAAGTCACACAAAAGCACTGAGGTTTGGCCTCTTGGGCAGGAGTTGGATAATGAATTTTAGCCATTCTTAAAAATCTATGCTTGCTAATGTGACCTTTCTAGACAAAATTGGTGTGGTTGTCACTGGGTTTCAGGTCAGTGCAAATCACTTCTGTATAAGATACTGTATTTTGCACTGACTTTACCTTGTAAGTGGTGTCCCTATGGCAATTATTTCCTGGGCACTGGGAAGCAGATTGTCTTTAACTGCCTCTTACTGTGAATTCTGTGTTCGGAGACGGGAGCGAGTTGCCCAAGTCATTCTAAAGGGATTGCTTTAATTCTTATGAAGGATCGTGTTGTTATCTAGATCAGCAAACTGCAGGGGAGACTTAACACTTTGCAGCCTCAGATCCTTGAGACACTGGAAGCTCTAGTGGACCCCAAGCTTTTGTCTGTGGATAGGAGTAAACTACACATTCTCCTGCAAAATGGCAAGAGGTAAATAAGAGTAAGCCGTGAAGAGACTAGAGGGTGACCATAGAAAATTATGTGTGATGAAATGTTAGAAAAATGGGGCCTAATATTAATTTCCTAGATTACTGTAATGCTGGATTGTGCATCTTATTTGTAAATGTAAAAATCAGTATGTGATATCTCTAGTGATATGGGGAGAAACAGAAAAAGGGAAATCTATCCCGAGTTGTCAGAAATACAGTCAAGGTTTTTAAATAGCATCTGACAGAACAAAATAATACCTAAGAGAACAAAACAACATCACGAAAACGTTCCCCGTAAAGTCAGACAAGATTAGCCTTTGGATCTATGCTTTAAGGCTACTAGTTCTAACAGACTGGTACCTTCATGGATCAAGCCTCTCTGATACCACAGTGCAAATACGAGGTGCTGGCTTTTTCTGACGTACAGATATATCCAGCAAACACACCTGAATCCCTTTGGGGGTGTGCCCGTGGCTCGCTGGTCCCCAGACAGATCAGAGCCCCTGCTAAAAGCCTGTGGCCTGCAAAGACCTTTTAGAAGGAGCTCTTAGAACCCCGCAGGGAAGCCTTCCCTGGCTGGCAAACTCCCTTAGAGATTACCTTTGTGCCCTGGTGCCACTGGGGATTACTTGACCTTTTTTGCCTGTTCTTTCTTCAGCTTGTCAGAACTGGAAACAGATCTCAAAGTTTTCAAAGAAACAATTCTGGAGATCTTAGATGAAGAAGAGTTAATAGAAGAGCTCTGTCTGTCTAAATGGACTGACCCACAAGTATTGTATGTATATTTTGAAACTTCTTTAAGAGTGTGTTTTGTTTAAGGAGAACCTGAACATTAAGCTGCGCGTTCCCTGCCAAAAAGCAGAAAGAAAAAGAGTTGCTAATTTTTTAAAGCCCTAGTGCTTGCTGCTTCAGAAATCGATGTATTTGCTGTTTTGGAGAGGGACTCCATTAGCACTAGTCCTATTATGCACTTTCAAATAGTTCTTGGCATAACAGCCCAGCTCATCTAGTGTGTAACGGGATGGGAGCAGGGTGGAAGGAGGAGAAAAAATAAATGTTATTTTTCAATACAAATTAACCCTTTCTGGGAGAATTTTCTTAATTTCCTTCTCCCCCCCCAAAAAAAAATATGAAGAGGCAGGTTTTAAAGCTTGCCTAGAATAGGTCAGACACCACGCTTCCTTTGTTGGAAGTGTTCTGCACACTTTGCTTCTAGTTTTTTGCTCACCAGCAGAACCTGAAGGTCAGAAGCCCTGGAGCAATCTTCTCATGCACCCGAAGAGCAGCATTTCAGGAAAAAACATGCACACAGAACTAGTCCTATTGCACTCTCACATTCTGGTTGAGGACAGCACACAGCAGCAGCGGCACCGCCCGCTTTAACAGAAACCAAAAAGCAAAAAGATAGTGTATATCAGATGGCAGTATGTTTTGGGATGAATTGTATGTATTTTGGGCTTACAGGCGTGTTTTATGTTTGAGCAGATAACTGAAACTACCTTTCGGGGTCCTTAGTGAAGTTGCTGATACTACTTTTGCCTGACCACACTGCACGTGGATAAACACTGCTCACACAGCAGCGTGGGTTTGAAACTAGGAGGCATTTTCTTGCCCTGCAGAGCGTAGTCTCCTTAGTGCAGCAGAAACTGAGTATTCCAGAAGTGGGATGGGGTTGGGATTTCTAATGCATCTTCTGGAGCAGTGTCAGGAGGGCTCCGAATTCCAGGCTGCTCCTGAGCCAGCAGCTGGTCTCCCATCATCCTGGTTTTGTTCCCAGCCTTCCTTTGGACTTAATACAAGCTGCTGGTGAATCTCTTCTTGCCTCATGGTAGACAACGTGCAGGGAACATAGAATCATAGAATGGTTTGGGTTGGAAGGGACCTCAAAAATCATCAAGTTCCAACCCCCCTGCCATGGGCAGGGACACGTCCCACTAGAGCAGGTTGCTCAAGGCCACATCTAGGAAAGATACCATGGTCGCCTTACGCTCTTAAGTCAGGAGGAACCTGAAGTCATCCCTTCTTTCAGAGACCCTTGCACAAGGATAGGAGAGGTGGTGGGAGGTTGTGCTGGAGGATGCAGTGAGACATTCCATGCAGGGTTGCAGGCAGGCTGGCAGAGTGCAGATAGCTCTCCTGGCTTCAGGGTTGACGCAGGTGGTGGGTGGTATTTGAGGAGCTCAAGAAGCTTGAGAAGGTGTGGAGGAGCCCAGTGAGGCACATGGGTGCCATCAGAGATGATTTGCAGCAGGAATGGTGAGATGAGGCCAGAAAGGCAGGATGAGGCAGACCTTGTATCTTGGTGTGAAGGGCTGGCAGGCTGTCAAAGACTCACCAGATGGGTGGAGGTGGTTAATGAAGGCAAATCAGGCAGCAGTTATTTTCAAGCCCAAATGCCTGTCGTTACCCTTTGTGTAGCCACAGGGGAGCTGATGTAAAGAAACTCATCAAATAAGACCTTCAGCTGAATCCCTACTACAGCAGACAGTGCTCTAAGGGCTTTCAACTCTGCAACTGCTCTCATCTGCAGGCAGTAAAACCCTAGAGGTCCCAAGGGCTATAGCTAACTCAGAGCTGCTGCCCCATAAGAGAGAAACAAGGGGCTCTGTTAAAGGTGGTAGCTTAGGTGGGTGGATTCTTAAGACATCAGGGCTTTCAAGTCTGCAACTGCTCTCATCTGCATGCAATAAAACCCTGGAGGTCCAAAGGGCTATAGCTAACTCGGAGCTTCTGCCCCATAAGAGAGAAACTAGGGGATCTGTTAAAGGTGCTCAGGTAGCTTAGGTGGGTGGATTCTTAAGACATATCACTTATTTTCTTGGAAAACCATTTCAGAGAGGTTCTTTTAACGGACAACAATGCCAGGAGGAGATTCTGTAAGTTTAGTCTCTCTAGAGAAATAAGGTCATACCACCAAAGAAAAAGTTATGAAGAATCTTCCTGGCTTTGCTGCCAGTTTCCAAGCTTCTCCGGATCTCAGGTGCCTCAGCTTTTATCTACACAGTGAACAACACAGTTCAGTGCCAGAAACATCCATGCCTGTTCCAGAGAACAGTTGGACCATGAAATAAGATGAAAGTCTCTCACACAGACTTGGGAGAGCAGCATCTTCCATTTGCTGTTCCCTCTTCAGCAGCTCCATGCCCCCAAAACGTTTTCCAGTAATTCCTGTGTGTAGCCGAAACACCTTGCAACTAAACTATTTTAATACACACCTAAAACATCTCCCCCACCATGTAATTGTTTGTGTGTTGACTTTTTGTTGTTATATTCTTGGGAGTTTTTGACTGCGCTGTTACCAGCTTCCACCACTTGAGGGCACCAAGGAGTTAAGCGTCTCCTTTCAAAGCTGTCAGCGCTTTATAAAAACTTACTATAAACATTTATAGTAATATAAACTTCATAAATAATACAAAATTTGTATAACTTCTTAATATCTGAAAAATGAAGGTTTGTGGTGATGTGCATGCCTTGAACATAACAAATTCTAACTGTTCTACTCAAAATAATTGACTGCCTATGCTGATCAGCTGACAGATCTAAAAATATGCCTTTTATTTTAAGCTGTTGGTATTGATGGAAGTCCCTCACTGACAAGATCTTATTTTGAGATCTGGTGTCTAACAGCACTCTCGTTGGCTGCTCCCCACAACTCTTTTTGTACCGTGTCTTAACACATCAGTAATTAACTTCTAGACAACATGTTGCTAACCAGATAAATACAAATTGTTGCTCACAGTGAGGAGAGCACGTCCGGGATTGACCACGCAGAGGAGATGGAGCTGCTGCTGGAGAACTACTACAGACAAGCAGAAGATCTGGCAAATGAAGCTCGTGAACTCAGAGTACTGATTGACGACTCGGAAAGCATCATCTTTATCAACCTGGACAGGTGAGCTCCCCTGGCTGTTGGATTACCAAAAGCTGAGCAGAAGTTAATGCTGCCTGGTCTTTCTCAAATCTGCCCACGAGGAAGGTTGGGGAATTCCATTCTCCTGAGGGTTTGAATGTTTATAGCAGTTATAGCACAGGAATCTGCACTGCACTTCTCTTATCAGTGAACTGGATAAAGTAAAGCAACAAGATGTGCTCATTAGTAAAATCTCTCCTGTTAGGCACCAGTTTTCCCCAGCAGGAGAACCCGGATCTAGGAGATTCTCCTAGATCCTTCTGGGGAGCTGGTCACTAAAGGAAAGTCTGCAATTTTAGGGGCAAAATAAAATTCTGCTTGGGAAATGTTACACTTAATTAAAACTGAATTAATGAAGAGTCTGGCTGGGCTACTCAGGTGTTCAGTACAGGTTGTGTTATCACTCTGTGGAGTGACAGAAGAATGAATAATTTCAGAGTGAGTATTCTCTATGCAGTGTTTTTCACTACTAGGTAGCTTTCTTAGTGAAAAATAATTGTAGTTTGCACCCGCAAGCACCTTCCACTCTGAGGTCAGCGTTTAATATTCTTTCTCTCTCTGCAATGGTTTTCACTACTAGGCAGCTTTCTTACTGAAAAATAATTGCAGTTTTCACCTGCAAGCACATTCCACTCTGAGGTCAGCGTTTAATATTCTTCCTCCTCTTTCCTGGGGAGTTATCTGTAGAAGCAATTGGTGGATGCTGCATCAGGAAACCACAAAGATCCTTTTGGGGAAGGCTTGAATATGGAATTCTCCAAAACAGGCTCAGTTTTATAGTTCTGCAGCATTTATTGACTCTATTTCTTTACAAGTATATTCATTTGCAAGGTAACAGTAAATTTTTGTTTCTTGTGAATACGGACGTATGAATTCCAGCCAGTTAGTGGTGAAAGAACACAAACTTCCCTGGAAGTTTACTGTGACTCTGTGTATGTACATCTTTAGGAAATGAGCAATGCTGGAAAGTCTGATGGTGATGAAGCAGAAGCTGCTGCCTTAGAGGTACCTGATGCAGCCATTTCAGAACCATAGCCTCTTTATACTTCTGGTTCATGAGCTTTGTCACTGGGTTGCCCAGTCCCAGCATGACTTTCTCTCTTCCACTGTTTGGGTTTAGTGCGTGCTGGACGGAATTGGAGAATTTAGGCAGCAAATCCGATTTTTTGGGTTCCTCTTACAGATGTTTCTCCCTCCTTTAGCCACCGTAATGTGATGATGAGACTGAACTTGCAGCTGACGATGGGGACTTTCTCTCTGTCTCTCTTTGGACTCATAGGAGTTGCATTTGGTATGAACCTGGAGTCATCTCTTGAAGAGGTAAGGAACGAGCTCTGCTTATATCCGTGACGTAAAACATAGGCCCTACTCTTCCAGTGCATTTTATATTCTGTACAAATTCATTCTTTCCATGGGTAAAGTTCCAGATTTATATTACTGTGAGAACATAATTTAGTCCAGTGATTCATGTGTTCGTGCAGTCACTTTTTTGTAAGGAAACTCCTGTATGGCTCACTGCACAGTACTGCAGCCCTGTTTCTGTTCAATGTTCACAGAAGAGAAATGGGAAGACAAATTTCTGGTTGTCTAAGGACTGACTATAAAGCAGTATTAAGGTTTCTTTAATGATCATCTGTTCTTCTGAAAAGACCAGCTTTGTCTTCCAGATACAAGGGTATCTGGGAAGCTGTCAGGGCATTTCCAGGACACCAGGGGAAATAGTCTGCTGTCTATGACAGGTTTATACCTAGACTTGGGGGGTACAGACTGGGGGTACAAATTTACCATTGCGCATGCTGTCTTCAAAACAAAAAATAACCGAAACAAAGCAAAGACTTCTACCTTTCCTTTCAAATTCATTGAATAAAACAAAGCAAAGACTTCTATTCAATGAATTTGAAAGGAAAGGTAGAAGTGTTGAATTTCCAAAATTCCTGATGAAGGAAGGAAAACTGCACAGAACAGTAACAGAATGCACTAGGGCGATCCCTAATTAAAATGCTTTGCTATGAAACAGTTCTTTTCCCAAAGTAGGGCTTGGCTGTTGATGGTAGAGAGTTTACCACTTCCTCCCATAAAGGAAGAGGGGGTGGGGAGCGAGAGATTGTCTTTGGATAATGCCCTTTTCTGAAGAGAGAGTTGTGAGACTAATGGGAACGTTCTGTTGGTAGGATCCCAGGATATTTTGGCTGGTGACGGGGATTATGTTTCTGGGCAGCGGTCTGATCTGGCGACGCTTGCTTTCCTTCCTGGGGCGGCACCTAGAACCTCCACTACCTCCTCACGTACGTATGGCTGCCAGGGTTTCTGCTCCAGACTCTGCATGTACAGTCCATTTCTACAGCAGGAGATAAGCTGTTGGAGAGAGGTGGCCACAGAGCATGGGGAAGTTCAGCTCAGTGCTCTCTGAGGAAGGAGAAGGTTCTCCTTAGACTGCCATGGCAGTGTGTTCACAGGGAGGGACGTCATGGATGCTGCCCTCCTCCTCCTCCCACCCAGGTACCAACTCTGGATCTGTAGTCATAGAATCACAGAATAGGATCATAGAATTGCCCAGGCCGGAAGGGACCTCCCAAGGCCATCTAGTCCGACCCCCCCGCAGTCAGCAGGGACACCCCCAACTAGACCAGGTTGCCCAGGGCCTCATCGAGCCTCTCCTTGAATATCTCCAGGGATGGGGCCTCAACCACCTCCCTGGGCAACCTGTTCCAGTGCTCCACCACCCTCACAGTGAAGAACCCTCTCCTAATCTCCAGTCTAAATCTGTTCCCCTCCAGCTTGAAGCCATTGCCCCTCGTCCTGTCACTGCAGGCCTTTCTAAACAGGCTCTCCCCAGCCTTCCTGTAGGCTCCCTTCAGGTACTGGAAGGCTGCTATTAGGTCTCCCCGGAGCCTCCTCTTCTCCAGGCTGAACAACCCCAGCTCCCTCAGCCTGTCCTTGTAGCAGAGGTGCTCCATCCCCCTGATCATCCTTGTGGCCCTCCTCTGGACCCTCTCCATCAGGTCCATGTCCTTCTTATATTGAGGGCTCCAGACTTGCACACAATACTCCAGGTGAGGTCTCACCAGAGCAAAGAGGAAGAATCACCTCTCTGGACGTGCTAGGAATGCATCTTTTGATGCAGCCCAGGGTGTGATTGGCCTTCTGGGCTGCAACTGCCCACTGCCAAGTCCTTGTCTTGAGAAAGAGAAGGTAAAGATAAAAGGACGATGGACAGGTACTAGGACACTGTAACGTTTCTCTGGAGAATGCTACCATGGTTGTCATGTCCTTACTCCCAGTCTGAAGTCTGTGATGGTTCCTCACCTGCACAGCAGCTATGGCATTGTAGAGCCCTGTTGTACCAAGCTGTAGGAAGATTGCCAAGGAGACCATCTTCAAGATGAGCAAGATTTTGCGTGGTTCATTTTCCCTGTTGACTGCCTTTTCCTGCCAAAGTTTGGGGGGCTGCACTGTCTACCTCTCTTCTGCACTCTAGAACAGGGAATCCAAAGTTTCTACAAGTTACAAAAGAAAGGGAGACCCAGATAAACTCCCCTTCATCCCTCCCCTCCCTTGCCACCAAGAGGCAGATGGTAGTAGTTCCCTGTGGATTGTTGACTATGGCTAAAACTAACTGGTTTATCCTCAAGTGTTGCTCAAAACCAAGTCCAGCACCTACTGACTCTGGCTTGGAGAAATGTACTGAAAGGGATTAGGGAGGAAGAAACCAGAGTCAGGGCTCTGAAAATACGAGGGAAATATCAGGGTTCAGGCCTCTGGGAAGCTTTACTTTCTTTTCTGCTGCATATAGAGCAGCTTTTGATGTAATCACAGGGTATTTTGTATCTTGCCTAGGTTCCTGCAGTTTTGAAAAAATCCCAACCAGCAGCTGGAAGAGTGGAGCTAAAGAACAACCTTAAAGCAGAAACGTTTGGGCTGAGCAGAAGCACCTTAACGAACCAATAGGAACAGTGCAGGAATGAAGAGACTTCTACTGTTACAGGGTGGACTTTGGACACATTCTCCACGTTTATTCTTCCTTACTGAAAACTGCAAGAATTTCTAAACTTGTTAATTTAATATATATTTTGTGCCAAAAAAAAAACCTATGGTGAGATTTTCATGCTCACACGCGAAAGGAGAGAAACACAAGGGAAAACAGTGATGTGCTTTCCACAGTAGTCTCACCTCCACCCCACGTATGTTCCATTACCTTTCTGTATCACATACATACAGTAATTTTGGGGGCATTCTCATTTCAAGTGTTTGTCAAATACTTCTTTGTGTAATGGCCTTTCTTAAAGAGAACGGTATTTTCAGCTGTAGGGATGACAGCTGTCAGCATTCATCAGTAACTCGGGTTTTGAGCTGCAGATTAAGGAGTTTGACTTCAAATGTCAAAGAAAAATCCACCCCAAAAGTAGCCTTTAAGGCCATATTTAATTGCAGAGAACAGATTTTCCAAAGCAAAAAATGTACCTGCATCTCTTGGGAAGCATCACCTCTAAATTGGCAGTAACCAGAAATAACAGTTTCCCTTGCTTTAAGTTAGCAAAACCAGGCTTTGAAATGCAGCTGCTTATCTTGGATAATCCTTAACAATTAATTTAGGCCCAAAATGTAGGGAATTCAGGAAAAGGGAAAATGGGCCTGTTGATAACGCGTGCTTGTGCTTGCCATCTGCCGCTATTTCAACACACGTGGATACAGCTGCAGTTTAACAACAACTCCTGTTCTCTAAGGACTGATTCAAAAGCTGGTAGAAGTCAACAGGCCAATTGTTGGTTTCTCTTCAGCTGGGCTCTGCTTCCCTCTCTTTTTGCTCCAAGAAGACAAGCCAAAGCATGGAGTAGCCTGCGTCGCGGTAAGTAGCTGGGTTAGTAAGGGGTGTGTGGAAGCCTGGTGTCCTGTGATGGACTGAAGGAAGGAGTAAAGTTCTTAGGACTTATCTCTGAACTCTGAGGGTGTAGTTCTCCACTGGTTTCTCTCAGTCTGTAGAAGGATCCTGAAATCCTTCTAAATCAGGTCACAAACTGTCTTATTTCTTATTTTTTAACCTCTCTAACATCCAGTGAGTAGCTCCTTAGGTGCCACCAGATAAATCACTCTACTAGCAGGGGATGAAAAAAACAGTAACTGTAGCTGTGAACGTTTTTACTCAGGATTAATGAGTCAAAAATGGAAATAAAAAGGTACATAAATTAAAAATGCCTAGCTTGGTTAAAGTTGTTTCTACAACATTTTCAAACAGTTGTTCTTGCTTTGTGTGTGACTTCAGCTACAGGTATAAAAGGTGTGAGAAGATTAATGGGGTTTGTAATGTTCTTGAGGTTTTTTCAGCTCAATTTTTTGGCAGCGTTTTTGCTTAACAGGTTGAGATGTAAAAAAAAAAAGAAAAACCTCTAAACTGAACAATCCAGTGGAAAAAATAATGGCTCACGTACCTCGGCTGATAAACCCAGTGCACAAAGGGATGTAGATGCTGATGTTTTCAACCAAGTTGTGGTTGCATTAGGTCAGGACTGAAAAGTGTTGGTGCAGCTGTTGGGGAAGCTTTCACGTAAGTTTTCCAAGCTCTGTCTTTCGTGCAGAGAGGCTTCTGTGAACTGCTCTGACTCCTTCTCCTGGATGTAACTGACTTCAAGCACAATAAAAGCACTGTGAGAGAGACACATCTTTTACACACTGCCTTTCTCTCTGCACCCAAACGTTTAATGGCTTTCTTAAAATTTAACTAATTTAACTAATCAAAATGCATCCATGTGCAATCAAATCACTCTTAGGTCATATATAGAAAAAAACCCAAAGGCAGCGGAGGCTGTGTGTTCAGAATGGAATTGCTACAAAACATACTGGTTTCGTCCATTTTCATTTAAAAAGGAAAACTCTTTTCATTCTGCCCTTATAAATACACTGCTCGTTTTCGCCTCACGCTACGGTTCACGGATTTGCAAGGTAAGGATTGTGCTCCCAGCTCCATACAGCTACAGCTTTCATAAAGTTCAGATTTAAAACTTTTTTTTTAGTAAGTGTTCTGCTCTTTGGGCAAGTAAAGTCCCCAAAATAGATGTCAGAACACATTATACATCAACCTAACGCTCACCTTGGCATTTTACTTGTTTTTAAAACAATCTCCCTGAGAGAGACAATTCCTAAGAAGGTAAGTTGAGGTGTGTCATCTTGGAGTATGGCCTTTAGAAGCATTATACATCAACCTAATGCTCACTTGTTTTTAAAACAACCTCCCTGAGAGAGATGGTTCCTAAGGAGGTAAGTTGGGGTGTGTCATCTTGGAGTATGGCCTTTAGAATTGGGCTTTTCCACTGACTTAACGCTATTTAAAATAAAAATAATGCTTTAAGTTTGTGAAAGAGGCAAAAGACAGAAAATACATATACGTACGTGTTTACAGACTAGTGTTGGTAATAATAGCATCACATCTCACTGCTCAAGTTGTTTAATAGATAATTGATGCACACTGTTAAATCTGCATCCTAGAAAATTAGTGTTAATTAGTCGAAGACAGTACTGTTGACAATAAAAGCTGTTAACAAGCGTAAGTTACCATGGTCATGGAATTTTACATGAGAACACAAAGAAAGGGTGTCAGAGTAGTTTCAGTCATGAGCGTGAAGGCAAAAAAGCCCTTTTGATTTGCACCCACTTTTCTGTCTGGCTTAGAGCTGCCCCTCCTGCATGCTTATTTTTTTGACAAGGAATTGTAAATTATGTGCTATTCTTTGCTGGTTTTGTTAAGAAAATACTCAAATCTGACCAGTAAAGAAGGTGACCACAGAGCATTCTTCATACAGCCAAATATTACTACCAAAATCCAGTCTTCTGCTCCTTGCAGCCTCTAAAAGGTTTTCAGATCAGGTTGTTCTAGGTTGAGGGCTGCTGCTGCTTACAGTGGAATTAATTTGTACTTTTCCATGACTGATGTAGCTTTGGTTGGTTTGTAAGTCAAACCACCATGAACTTGCATATTCCCCTTCACTTAAAAACTGACCATCCCTCCCTTAACACTATGTAGGACCCTGTCTAGCTCTCTGGGACATCTGGCTTAAAAACTGACCATCCCTCCCTTATATCTATCTATCTATCTAGGACCCTGTCTAGCTCTCTGGGACATCTGTCTGTCAAAAGCTTGCTGTTGGTTTGTACGGGTTGAGGAAAGTATCACAGATACTACAGAGATCATTCACTAAAAGACCAGCTGGGCCCTGGTCTCAAAGGCTACCGTGAACTTCTAGAGCGAGTAGACAAACAGCCTTCCACCAAGTCGAGCTTTCGACGAACTTCTCTCCGCCGCCACTACAACTTCTTTCTGCAGAGACACAGAGCAGAGCTTACCAAAATGCAGCTCCAGGTGCACAGTTGCCTTAAGCCGCCCTAAGGGAAACCAGATTTTGTCCATACCATTAATGTCCTACAGGAAGGTGATGAGGAGAAATGAGAGCAACCCACCGTATCAGAACTGCGGTTAGCAAAACAGTTTGGCAAACAGATGTTATTTCAGTTGGGGAACTGGAAGAAGCTGGAACCAGGCAAATAAATCTCTTGCGAGTGTAAACTGTTTCTCAGGGGTAAGATCTGTAGAGATGAAGCTGGAGCGTGGCCTGGATTGGTGCCACAGCAAAGGCACACAAGGGCTTGGGGACCAGCCTTGCTTGTGCAGAAACCATTGGTGATGCTTGCGTTTCGGGGGCTGGATTACACACCCTGACCTACTTTAAAAGCATTTACATTTCCAGGTGTTTCTCCATTAGAATCATAGAAATGTCTAGGTTGGAAGGGACCTTTAAGATCGTCTAGTCCAGCCATCAACCTAACTCTGATTAAAAAAAAAAAATATCACTAAACCATGTCCCTAAGCACTATGTCAGCCCGTCTTTTGAACACCTCCAGGGATGGTGCCTCAACCCCCTGGGCAGCCCATTCCAAGGCTTAATAACCCTCTCAGGGCAAAAATTTTTCCTAATCTCCAACCTGAACCTCCCCTGGTGCAACTTGAGGCCACTTCCTCTTGTCCTATCTCCTGTGACTTGGGAGAAGAGACCAACCCCCACCTCTCTACACCCTCCTTTCAGGTAGTTCTAGAGAGTGAGAAGGTCTCCCCTCAGCCTCCTTTTCTCCAGGCTGATCAACCCCAGCTCCCTCAGCCACTCCTTGTGAGACTTGTTCTGCAGACCCCTCACCAGCTTTGTTGCCCTAGTGCATGTTTTCATAGCAAGAAGTCAAACACCATTTGTTGCAGACCCGTCGCACACCTCCTGAGCCTCACACAGGTTATGTCTGAGTAAGCAGAACATTGGACTCCCCTCAGTTGAACAAGCACTAAGAAATAACCTTCAAGCTGAAAAAAAGATTCCCCAGCACATCGTACAAACACTGAGATTGACTTTTGGTAAAAAGAACGGGCATCAGAGGGGGACAGAGAGAAAGAGGTGCACAGACTCATCCAGAATGACTCAGGTAAGAACTGAGCCTCTTTATGCTTGGAAATACTTGAGATATGAACAGCGTTCCCTGCGAGTGCCAGCTGTGACAGCAAGCCTGTAAATGTTACACGAGAGGGCTGGTTCAGCACCTGCTTCACCATTTATGTTCACCATTTATGTTCACCATTTATGTTCACCATTTATGTTCACCATAGCTGAGCATCTGCTTGGCACACAGGTTGGCCTGACCAGTCAAGGCAGCTGGCACCTACACTCCATGTGCCACGCCACCTTCCAGCAAACTCCTAAGTAGTTTAGATTTCAGGCCGTTTTAAAGTGATCTCTTTCAATTCAGGTGTCAGGTGCCAAAATTCTGCCACCTCCATAGTTCATCCACCTATAAAATGGTTTAAATTACCAGTTCGGAGAGTGATTTAAATGTGAACTTAATTAACTATGTAAAGCACTTAAGACTTCTGCAAGTAAGAGACAGATAAGCGAGGTGTTGGCTAGTACAGGCAAGTGAGGTAGAAAGATGTTACAAAGCAACTGACGACTGATTTTTCTCACCTTTCCTTCAGATTTCACGGTGATCACAGAACTCCCAAATCTTGATAGTTCCTGTAAAAGAACATCACTTGTTATAAAGCTGTTAGGTTTTTTTTAAAGTGGGACTTTTTCATTTCTCTCAGTAGTTTGTTTTCTGGTTACTTACCTCAGGAGAAATCAGCACATACTGTGCCTGAAGAAAAAAAAAATAAAAAGAGAAAAGAAAAAAAGTCAGTGGAGAGAACCACACCAGGAGAGGAGAAGACCAGTGCAATAACCCTGGCTCCTAAACAGGAAAATAACTCAAGAACGACAAGGAGGAGCCAAATCACACAGATTTAGAAACAGAAATAAACCACGTCTTTTCTGAAACCAAGTCAGAACACGCTAGATATTGGTACTGGATGTAATTAATTAGCTGTCATTATGATCTCACGTCCTGATTTCACTTTTATCTTTCTTACCCAGTCCTCGGGACAGGGAGATACCCAGGATTTGCAGTGGGCTGTCACATTCCGCGAGGATGCCTGCTTTCCGTTGTAAATGTAAACACGGCCGGCTGCCCCCCCGAACAGCACCGTGATGTCGTTAGAGCGCAGCGGGGACGTCACCATCATCTCATCTGCAAATGTGACAAGGATGACGTGACACATCAGACATGAAATATTGCTACACCAGAACATGAGAAGAGAAAGCATTTATACACCTCTAGATTTTTAGAGTTGGAAGGGACCATAGGGATCATCTAGTCCAACTCCCCTGCTGCAGCAGGATTGCCTAGAGCATGTTAGAGCATGTTACTCAGGAGCATCCAGGCGGGTCTTGAAAATCTCCAAGGAAGGGGACTCCACACCCTCCCTGGGCAGCCTGTTCCAGGGCTCTGTCACCCTCACTGTGAAGAAGTTTTTTCTCATATTTGAGTGGAACCTCTTATGTTCCAGCTTGTGCCCGTTGCCCCTCGTCCTCTCACTGGGAACCACTGAAAAGAGTCTGGCTCCCTCCTCCTTCAACCCTCCCTTGAGATACTTGTAGGCGTTGATAAGGTCTCCCCTCAGCCTTCTCTTCTTCAGGCTAAAGAGTCCCAGCTCTCTCAGTCTTCATAAGGGAGATGCTCCAACCCTTGAAACATCTTTGTTGCCCTTCGCTGGACTCTCTCCAGTAGTTCCCTGTTCCTCTTGAACTGGGGAGCCCAGAACTGGACACACTATTCCAGTTGTGGCCTCCCCAGTGCAGAGCAGAGGGGCAGAATGACCTCCCTTGACCTGCTGGCCACACTCTTCCCTACGCAGCCCAGGATTCCATTGGCCTTCCTGGCCACAAGAGCACACTGCTTGCTCATGGTCATTTTGCTGTCCACCAGGACCTCTAGATCTTTCTCTTCAGAAGTTGCCTCCAGCAGGTCCACCCCTAACCTGTACTGGTACATATTGGTACAAGGTCCTGAGTAACATGCTCTACTCTAGGCAATCCTGCTTCAGCAGGGGAGTTGGACTAGATGATCTCTATGGTCCCTTCCAACTCTAGAAATTCAGTGAAATTCAGTGAAGGTAACCAAGGAAGCAGACTGTGCTTAGCACTTGTATGAATACGGAGGTGACCAGTCCTTCTGTTGCCAAAACCAAACCGTTTCACAGAATCACAGAATCACAGAATCTTCTAGGTTGGAAGGGACCTTAAAGATCATCTTGTCCAACCGTCAACCTAACTGACAAAAATAGACACCCACACAACAAACAAGGAGCATCATCACTAAACCATACCTCCCAGCACTACATCAACCCGTCTTTTGAACACCTCCAGGGATGGTGCCTCAACCACCTCCCTGGGCAGCCCATTCCAATGCCTGATAACCCTTTCAGTGAAAAAAATTTTCCTAATATCCAGCCTGAACCTCCCCTGGCGTAACTTGAGGCCATTTCCTCTTGTCCTGTTGCCTGTGACTTGAGAGAAGAGACCGACCCCCAGCTCTCTACACCCTCCTTTCAGGTAGTTGTAGAGAGCAATAAGGTTGATCAAGCCTTACCTAGTCCATCATTATCCAGGTCGCTTAAGTGTATGTCTCCTCCGAAGCGAGAGAACCTCCTGTCCCCACTGAACGTGCTGAGCAGAGCAGGCTGGGTGCTGTTTCTCAGATCATACACCAGAGCCAGCCCCGCTTGGCGCAGCACCGAGGACATAAATGAAATCCTAGCCAGCCCATCTGAGGGGAAAAAAATAAAGGTAATAACAGAAGTTGAGCATCAGACACAGGAACTCAGGTTTAACTCTTGCAATACACTGACAGCAGGAAATACTGGCATTACGTAACACGGACAAAATCAATATAACTTATGAAACAAGATCAAATATGCCATTAACGCTAATTAGCATAGAAACAATCTCTTAGCAATAGTACCAGGGGAAAAATGAATTCAACTTAAGAGTTCTACATTTTGAATTTCCTAATTCCTTACTGCCTACTGCCAGAGTAAGGAGCAAATACTATGGTGTTTTAATTCTAAGAAATATGCAGCCTACTAGCAAATGACTGCTACGTAAATAATGCAGAGTAGTAACACTGCTAAGCTAATTTTAAGGAAGGAAAAAAAAAAACATTGAAGTTTCAGCGTAGCAGAGAGGACTCTACACATAAGGTGTCTACGGTGATTATTTCTAATTATTTTTTTTTAATTATGTGGCAACGCAAAGGTCCCTTTTCTAACTTTTAACTTTGTACCCGTCCTCTGATGATACAGACACACAGGCTCCCAGAGGAGAAATGGTTTTCAGTTCTCAGGACATACCTGCAGTAGGTGCACCCACCACCAGAACCGTCCTTGTGGTCCCAGCCACCGACATCACCCCGCTGGCCAGAGACAAGCCCATTCTGCCCATCGCCTGGGAGATTTTTAAAACACCTTGGTCATTTCTACAGAACGTCACTTTTACTTCAAATTATTCTTCAGGTCCCATACTACAGAAGGAGCCCTACCTTGCCTCCAGTTATGGCAAACCAGGGCTTTGTGCTTGGTGGGTTGTACCCATACACCTTCCCCACGCTCTGTCTGGCGTCCGATGAGGAGGGACTGCAGCTTGAAATACAACACAGAACATATTTGTATGCAACAATGTGGTTTTTGTACATTCAGGATTGCTCCTCTTAAAATATTTTCCCCTTTTAGTTTGGAATAATAGTGGCTGCCAAAGTCCAGAAACCTATTTTAGTAGTTTCCATGTTTGTTCTAACAAGTAACACAACATGTAGGCCAGACTTGGCCTGTCTATCCATTTCTTTATCCCACAAACATTTTTGTGTTTGGTTTGCTTTTAAAAATAGTATTTCAAAGTCAGTGCTATCATCTAGGCTGGTTTAGGCGTGCTTAGCTGTCAGCATTTTTGTGCCACCTCTCCCCCTCCCCAAGAAAACCCAAGAAATTCTTAAGTGTCTCTAAATAACAAAGACCCTCTCTGTAGAGGGTCTAAAGACCCCTCTTTCTTCATGAGGAAAGGTGAAGGCATAAAAATATGAATTCAATAAAAATATTCTAAGCAGGACAGAGGGGAAATTTGCTGAAGAGTGGGAAGTCCAATCTATTACATTACAGAAGAAGGGGAGAATGGAGGAGAGAGCAAGCCCACATACAACACACCCAGCACAACTCTTCCACGTGGGGCTACCAATCAGCAGTAAAGTCACGTTCTCCAGCTGGCAGCTGGCAAGTGAAAATCCAAACCAAGCGTAGTTTTCTTCCCCCTTCACCATCCAGTTGGCGTCCTGTACTGACAAAACTCCTGACAGACCAGAAAAATATGAGTTAGATCTGGGTGCACCCCGGCATAGAAAAATCCATTAGCAACCCTCCACTGATTCATCCTACGACAAGAAGTTTCTATGAACAAAGTTACACCATGGTCCATGATATGGCACCAGTTATTGCTAACGTTGCTTTCCCAGTCTGCAACTGCACTGCCTGGTGAAAGCCTTTATTCAGCACAGCCTCCTCCTAAACCCTTGCAATAGCCTACACAAAGTACATAAAAACTACCAGTCAAACCCACCCTAAACTGGTGACTCCTTCTCAGGGACAAGATGACGCTGAAACTGTTTATCAGAACTTGTAATTCTTCAAGGGCGGCGGGTGGGGAAGCTTCCAATAATTCCAATAATTCTGGCTTTAATTCAAATAACTCATCCTGTGTTTTGGCTTTGCATAAAAGTCAGTCAGCAGTGTTTTGAAACCCATTTTCCTTGTGGTTTCTAATTTTACATGAAGTAGAACAAGCTACAAAAATTAAGCGTTACTGAAAATCTTAATTACCTGATTCTGATAAAGCTCTGAATAGCTGTGTATCCTGCCCACCCCCTATTAATGTGGCCTTTTCTCCCTCATTCACAGCAGTCCTCATCACCCGTACTCATCAGCTGTATTCACTTGTAGCATTCCTCGTTAGCCACTCGGAGGAGCATACGGAATGATGAAATTTCACTTTTTGAGGTACATTTGCAAATTTTCAAGGAAGACCAGTGAGTCCTCCCTGGTATCACCAACACACAGTTGTATCCTTTGCCTTAGCAAGGCTTTCAATGCTGTCTCCCACAATGTTCCTGTATCCACACTGGGACGTTGCAGTCTGGATGGGTGGACAACTAGGTGGGACTCATCCTGGCTGAGATGATCACCCTCCCAGGGCAGCAGTTAGTGGGTTATACTCTGAATGCCTGTGGCAAGAGAGCTCTTCAGAGAGCTATCTTCAAACTCATGCTGTTAAAGACTTGATTTTAAAGAAATGATTTGGAGAAGGCAACAACATGCCCTTCATGAAGCTGGCGGATGGCAGGAGACTGTGGGACACTTGGTCTACCATTCAGAAGGACCCAGGTAAGCTGACAGGAACCTCACAAAACTCAGCAAGGACCAACACAAAGCTGTTGTGCCTGGAAAAGGAGGTGCCCTTGCAGTGATACAGGCTGGGGAGTTGCCATGTGGAAAAGGCCTTGGAGATCCTGGTGGGCAGAGTGTTGAGCAGGAGGCTCTGACAGCAGAGATGGCCAACAGCATCCCAGGCCATATAAGCAGGAGAGTGGCAAAGAGACTGAGAGAAGTGATTGTTCCCCCTTTACTCCTCCCTAGACCACACCTATAACACGTTGTTCAGTTCTGGACCCCACAAAACAGTAAAGATGTTGATAAACCACAGCAAATTTAGTAGAGGGTCCCCAAGATGGCTCAGGGCTGCAGCACTTGCACTTGTGAGCAGAGACTGAGGGAGCTGGACGTATTCAGCCTGGAGAAAAGAAGGTTTTGAGAGGACCTCACAGCAGCCTGCCAGTACCTACAAGGGGGTTCACAAAGAGCCAGGTTCTTCCCAGTGTACTGGGGCACTCAATGTCTTCTGCACCTCTGACTTCATTATGTTTGGTGGGAGGACAATAGACAACGAGCATAAACTGAGACAAGGGAGGTCCATACTGGCTGTAACAAGACTTTTTTTTCCCTATGAGGACAGCCAAGAGGTGGAACAGCTGCCCAGAGTTGGCTGTGCAATCTCTATCATTGGAGAGGTTTCAGATCTGACTGGATAAATTCCTGAGCAATCTGGTCTGACTTCATAGCTGTCCCCTTTTTCAGTAGGATACTGGATTAGACACCTCCTGAGATCCCTTCAAACCTGAATTATCCTATGACTAATTAGGAAGAAACGAATAGTCACATAAAATATGGGAGGGTTAATTTACTCAATGAATATTACCTTGGTCACTCCTGTTGAAATAAGAGTAAAATGCAACCACAAATCCTCTCTGCTGCCCACCACCGGGTGCGTAGGGAGAGCCCACAACCAGATCAGCGTTTCCATCCCTGTCAACATCAGCTGCCAGGAGGGACCAACCAAGGTTACAGTAGGAATACTGCAATAAACAGTTAGTTTAAGCCTGAAATGGAACTGAAACCACCAATTCTGTAACAAAACACAGCAATTTACTTCTAAAGAGCTAACTTTGGCTGTTTCTGATCAAATTACCCTCCCACTCCCTGACTTCAATTTTGTTTTCTTTGGCTTTTGGGTTTGAGGTTTTTTGTTTGTTTGTTTGTAGTTTTTTTTTTGAGGGCTATGCATTTTTCTGTTCACCCTGCTGCCTGCCCTGCACTGGAGTACAAATGTCTTTCCTACGTACAACCAACATAGGTGAGCACCTCCTTTCACCATCTCCATCAATCTAAATTCCCTTGCAACAAGAAGCTTGATTTTAACCTTTTTTTTTTTTTAAGCCCATAAGCCCCTTTCCCCTTTATCCCACCTCCAGCCTGCGTAGCCCTGTGTTAACCCAAATGATATACCTCACAAGTGATGGTAACGTTCGGTTCAGATGCCAAGCCTCTTCCCTCAGTGCCAAAATAGACATACACAGCACCCTAAACAGCAAGAAAAGCAAACACAGCATGAGAGCATCTGCATGTCCACACTAAGTACGAAATCCAAGACAAAAGCACAAGGAAAAACACAGTTCTGCAAAGGGCTATTTATCCAACTGCATTTTTCCGATCAGAGCCTTCTCATAATATTGTCTTTTCCACCCCAAAACCTAAGAATACCCTTGCTGTAATGGGTACTGTTATAACCAGACAACAAACTGGATAGGTACATTTTCATCACATGGTGGGTAAGGAGCAAGGACAGTATACTGTATATTTACACTTGTTATGCACACATTCAGGTGGCTCAAATTTTGTTAATTATTATTTAATGCAATGGCACACAGTGCCAGGCACAACAGATGCATGCAATTTTCCAAGCTAGTGGGTCTACAGAAAAGCCTTTAGATTCCCCTCTAGGCATCTGAGTTAGTGTCTGAAATTCTGGAGAGTTGTAAGCTTAATGGACATGGTTTAAACCAAAACATTTCGCCTCTCAGTTTGCATGGATTGAAAATACTCAGGAACCATTCCATGGGCTGATCTTGTAAACTGCAAGCCATTCAGCCTCTGTAACTCCATTATTTTAGCAAGTGTGGCTGCGTTCATATCACTGTTTAGATATCATCTGTTGGCCTGTAACAGCAGATGAGAAGGCTCACTGACCCATGAGGTCCATTCTAGACTCTCTGCTCCTAAATAAAAAGGGTGGACTCTACAGCATGAGAGCATCTGCATGTCAGCACCAAGTACGAAATCCATGACAAAAGCACAAGGAAAGAAACAGTTCTGCAAAGGGCTATTTATCCAACCGCATTTTTCCGATCAGAACCTTCTCATAATACTGTCTTTTCCACCCCAAAACCTAAGAATACCCTTGCTGTAATGGGTACTGTTATAACCAGACAACAAACTGGAGAGGCACATTTTCATCACACGGTGGGTAAGGAGCAAGGACAGTATACTGTATATTTACACTTGTTATGCACACATTCAGGTGGCTCAAATTTTGTTAATTATTATTTAATGCAATGGCACACAGTGCGAGGCACAACAGATGCATGCAATTTTCCAAGCTAGTGGGTCTACAGAAAAGCCTTTAGATTCCCCTCTAGGCATCTGAGTTAGTGTCTGAAATTCTGGAGAGTTGTAAGCTTAATGGACATGGTTTAAACCAAAACATTTCGCCTCTCAGTTTGCATGGATTGAAAATACTCAGGAACCATTCCATGGGCTGATCTTGTAAACTGCAAGTCATTCAGCCTCTGTAACTAGATTATTTTAGCAAGTGTGGCTGAGTTCATATCACATTTTAGATATCATCTGTTGGCCTGTAACAGCACACAGCATGAGAGCATCTGCATGTCCACACTAAGTACGAAATCCAAGACAAAAGCACAAGGAAAAACACAGTTCTGCAAAGGGCTATTTATCCAACTGCATTTTTCCGATCAGAGCCTTCTCATAATATTGTCTTTTCCACCCCAAAACCTAAGAATACCCAATATGAGTTAAGATCTGGGTGCACCCTGGCATAGAAAAATTCATTATCAACTCTCTGCTAATTCATCCTACGACAAGAAGTTTCCATAAGCAAAGTTACACCATGGTCCATGATATGGTACCAGTTATGGCTAATGTTGCTTTCCCAGTCTGCAACTGCACTGCCTGGTGAAAGCCTTTATTCAGCACAGCCTCCTCTTAAACCCTTGCAATAGCCTACACAAAGTACATAAAAACTACCAGTCAAACCCACCCTAAACTGGTGACTCCTTCTCAGGGACAAGACGACGCTGAAACTGTTTATCAGAACTTGTAATTCTTCAAGGGCGGTGGGTGGGGAAGCTTCCAATAATTCCATTAATTATGGCTTTAATTCAAATAACTCATCCTGTGTTTTGGCTTTGCAAAAATGTCAGTCAGCAGTGTTTTGAAACCTATTTTCCTTGTGGTTTCTAATTTTACATGAAGTAGAACGAGCCATAAAAATTAAGCGTTACTGGAAATCTTAATTACCTGATTCTGACAAAGCTCTGAATAGCTGTGTATTGAATTACACCCCCTATTAATGTGGCCTTTCCTCCCTCATTCACAGCAGTCCTCATCACCCGTACTCATTAGCTCTATTCACTTGTAGCATTCCTCGTTAGCCACTCGCAGGAGCATACAGAATGATAAAATTTCACTTTTTGAGGTACATTTGTAAATTTTAAAGGAAGACTAGTGAGTCCTCCCTGGTATCACCAACACACAGTTGTATCCATTGCCTTAGCAAGGCTTTCAATGCTGTCTCCCACAATGTTCCTGTATCCACGCTGGGACATTGGAGTTTGGATGGGTGGACAACTAGATGGGACTCATCCTGGCTGAGATGATCACCCTCTCAGGGCAGCAGTTAGTGGGTTATACTCTGAATGCCTGTGGCAAGAGAGCTCTTCAGAGAGCTATCTTCAAACTCATGCTGTTAAAGACTTGATTTTAAAGAAATGATTTGGAGAAGGCAACAACATGCCCTTCATGAAGCTGGCGGATGGCAGGAGACTGTGGGACACTTGGTCTACCATTCAGAAGGACCCAGGTAAGCTGACAGGAACCTCACAAAACTCAGCAAGGACCAACACAAAGCTGTTGTGCCTGGAAAAGGAGGTGCCCTTGCAGTGATACAGGCTGGGGAGTTGCCATGTGGAAAAGGCCTTGGAGATCCTGGTGGGCAGAGTGTTGAGCAGGAGGCTCTGACAGCAGAGATGGCCAACAGCATCCCAGGCCATATAAGCAGGAGAGTGGCAAAGAGACTGAGAGAAGTGATTGTTCCCCCTTTACTCCTCCCTAGACCACACCTATAACACGTTGTTCAGTTCTGGACCCCACAAAACAGTAAAGATGTTGATAAACCACAGCAAATTTAGTAGAGGGTCCCCAAGATGGCTCAGGGCTGCAGCACTTGCACTTGTGAGCAGAGACTGAGGGAGCTGGACGTATTCAGCCTGGAGAAAAGAAGGTTTTGAGAGGACCTCACAGCAGCCTGCCAGTACCTACAAGGGGGTTCACAAAGAGCCAGGTTCTTCCCAGTGTACTGGGGCACTCAATGTCTTCTGCACCTCTGACTTCATTATGTTTGGTGGGAGGACAATAGACAACGAGCATAAACTGAGACAAGGGAGGTCCATACTGGCTGTAACAAGACTTTTTTTTCCCTATGAGGACAGCCAAGAGGTGGAACAGCTGCCCAGAGTTGGCTGTGCAATCTCTATCATTGGAGAGGTTTCAGATCTGACTGGATAAATTCCTGAGCAATCTGGTCTGACTTCATAGCTGTCCCCTTTTTCAGTAGGATACTGGATTAGACACCTCCTGAGATCCCTTCAAACCTGAATTATCCTATGACTAATTAGGAAGAAACGAATAGTCACATAAAATATGGGAGGGTTAATTTACTCAATGAATATTACCTTGGTCACTCCTGTTGAAATAAGAGTAAAATGCAACCACAAATCCTCTCTGCTGCCCACCACCGGGTGCGTAGGGAGAGCCCACAACCAGATCAGCGTTTCCATCCCTGTCAACATCAGCTGCCAGGAGGGACCAACCAAGGTTACAGTAGGAATACTGCAATAAACAGTTAGTTTAAGCCTGAAATGGAACTGAAACCACCAATTCTGTAACAAAACACAGCAATTTACTTCTAAAGAGCTAACTTTGGCTGTTTCTGATCAAATTACCCTCCCACTCCCTGACTTCAATTTTGTTTTCTTTGGCTTTTGGGTTTGAGGTTTTTTGTTTGTTTGTTTGTAGTTTTTTTTTTGAGGGCTATGCATTTTTCTGTTCACCCTGCTGCCTGCCCTGCACTGGAGTACAAATGTCTTTCCTACGTACAACCAACATAGGTGAGCACCTCCTTTCACCATCTCCATCAATCTAAATTCCCTTGCAACAAGAAGCTTGATTTTAACCTTTTTTTTTTTTTAAGCCCATAAGCCCCTTTCCCCTTTATCCCACCTCCAGCCTGCGTAGCCCTGTGTTAACCCAAATGATATACCTCACAAGTGATGGTAACGTTCGGTTCAGATGCCAAGCCTCTTCCCTCAGTGCCAAAATAGACATACACAGCACCCTAAACAGCAAGAAAAGCAAACACAGCATGAGAGCATCTGCATGTCCACACTAAGTACGAAATCCAAGACAAAAGCACAAGGAAAAACACAGTTCTGCAAAGGGCTATTTATCCAACTGCATTTTTCCGATCAGAGCCTTCTCATAATATTGTCTTTTCCACCCCAAAACCTAAGAATACCCTTGCTGTAATGGGTACTGTTATAACCAGACAACAAACTGGATAGGTACATTTTCATCACATGGTGGGTAAGGAGCAAGGACAGTATACTGTATATTTACACTTGTTATGCACACATTCAGGTGGCTCAAATTTTGTTAATTATTATTTAATGCAATGGCACACAGTGCCAGGCACAACAGATGCATGCAATTTTCCAAGCTAGTGGGTCTACAGAAAAGCCTTTAGATTCCCCTCTAGGCATCTGAGTTAGTGTCTGAAATTCTGGAGAGTTGTAAGCTTAATGGACATGGTTTAAACCAAAACATTTCGCCTCTCAGTTTGCATGGATTGAAAATACTCAGGAACCATTCCATGGGCTGATCTTGTAAACTGCAAGCCATTCAGCCTCTGTAACTCCATTATTTTAGCAAGTGTGGCTGCGTTCATATCACTGTTTAGATATCATCTGTTGGCCTGTAACAGCAGATGAGAAGGCTCACTGACCCATGAGGTCCATTCTAGACTCTCTGCTCCTAAATAAAAAGGGTGGACTCGTATTCCATGAATGGCCCCTTACATTTCCTGCACATCAGTCCTGCAAAGCTGCAATCTGATCTGGATTTGTAATGTGCAAAAAGGCCACTGAAAGAGAGATACAGATGGCTGTCATTGCTCTAGTCAGAGTACCCACAAACGTTATCAACTTTTAAGTTTCCATTTAGGCATCTGAGTTAGTATCTGAAATTCTGAAGAGTTGTAAGCTTAATGGACGTAGTTTAAACCAAAACATTTTGCCTCTCAGTTTGCATGGATTGAAAATACTCAGGAACCATTCCATGGGCTGATCTTGTAAACTGCAAGTCATTCAGCCTCTGTAACTAGATTATTTTAGCAAGTGTGGCTGAGTTCATATCACATTTTAGATATCATCTGTTGGCCTGTAACAGCAGATGACAAGGCTCACTGACCCATGAGGTCCGTTCTAGACTCTCTGCTCCTAAATAAAAAGGGTGGACTCGTATTTCATGAATGGCCCCTTACATTTCCTGCACATCAGTCCTGCAAAGCTGCAATCTGATCTGGATTTGTAATGTGCAAAAAGGCCACTGAAAGAGAGATACAGATAGCTGTCATTGCTCTAGTCAGAGTACCCACAAACGTTATCAACATTTGTGTTTAAATTACAATGTCACCTTGAGCAACAACAGAAATTCCCTCTCTTATTCCACTGTCCAAGAAAATGCATATCAATAAAAGTGTTCCATTTGGAGGGGGATAAAACCCAACAAACACATGCGTGTGGCTTACTTTGTAAGTAAGAAACTGCGATCCCACAGAAGGTGCTCCAATTGCCAGATCTGGCACTCCATCCTCATTGAAGTCCAGGACTGCCAATGCAGAACCAAATCTTCCTGAAGGCTAAAAGAAGAGGGATTGCTGTCAGGAAATAACAGACGTTTTCAAGACAAAGCCATCAGAACCTAACACACATTTGCAATCACAGCACAGGGAAGAACCAGTAACAGAGATGACAAAAATCTATCCCAACAATTCTTAAGATGTTTCTTAGCATCGCTGTTCTCCCAAGTAATAACCATCAGCCTAATACACTAACTCGGAGTCAACTGCTCTGTTTGAGCAAGTGGAGGTGTTAAAATGCAAGATAACTGAGCACAACACAGTGCTGCTTTGCTATTTCTCCCTCTGAGCCTAGTGCACCATTGATGTGAAGCTTCTGACCTTTCCCAATAACAGCATGATAGGTGTGAAGCACTGAAACACTCTGTAAGACGACAGCAGCTGTTACTCCACGGTTTATAAACACAGAAACAGATTAAAAGGAAATGTATCTCATCTCTCTCTATTCTCTTCTTTGTGAAAAGAGATACTTTCTACAAAGGATCCTCTTTATTACTTATACTTATTTGATCCTGCTTCTCAGTTACAAGCCAGTCCCCATCGTGTCAAATCATAGTCTTCTCTTCTTTTAAAATAACAGGTACTCTTAGTAAAGACAAACAATGGTTTTGTGAGAAGTTATCGATTAATGAAAAAATGTAGCTTCAAAGGAATTGAAACTTATATTGAATTAATCATTTTAGACGAAAAAGAAAGAGAAAAATCAGAGTATTTTCTTAAATGCAGGGACACGAATGAGCTATACTGTGACTGACAGAGACATTACTTCAGTTTTATTCAAGGGCAAATTATGTTTTAATACCCACTTACCTGGCACAGCAATAAAAGTGAACCTACAGATCACCGCTGCTTTAATCGTTCCTGTGACTTAAGGAATGGTTATATTTCTTGAAAAGTATATTTCAGGAATAATCCTCATCCATATTAATGATACTGTCGGTCAGTCAAAATTTACCACTTTTTCAGGAAAAAAACTGTAAGTGATAAAATATCTGCCTTGACGCCTCACCTGATGGCCCTGCAGTACTTGGTCAGCTTTCCCATCTAGATCCATGTCCTCTGGTGGCAAACCTGCCTGGTTGCCATAGACCACGTAGACCCGTCCTATCTGAACACGGCCCAACGTGCTGTACCCTGGGGCTCCAACCACCAGATCTTCATACCCATCCTGGTTTAGGTCAGCTGAGATCATTGCCCTGAACAGCAAAGGGAGTCAACAAAACCACAGCATTAGCTTCCAGGCTACCACAACATTAGCAGAAAATAAATACTGTTGCTTCTTTCAGGTAAACCAAGACCAGTCTTTCCCCATTTATTTTTGTAAAAATCTACACAGCATTTTTCATATCACATATTTTAATTTTGTTTTCTTGAATTAAATAAAAACAAATCTTCCATTAATGCATCTGAGATCCATAGGAACAGCTTTTAATTAAACATCTTTTTAACTGAACCTCTGATTTAATCAATGGACTGAAGATAAACAAAGGGATCACAGGCATCAGTAACACGTTGGAGTTTAGAGAGGGAATGTGGAGAGAAAAGAACGAACTCCTGTTAATTTGGCTGGTATGAAGTAAACTCAAGAATTAAATCTTCAAATTTTGAGTGAGAAGAAATAAAGTAAGAGGAGCAGCAATTAAATTCGTCTTATTACTCTTCTTTGTTGCAAGTCAAGCTAGAACCTCTCTGGCAAGAAGAAAGAATACACCTCTTTCTGTGTCCTAGGTATATCTTCAAACTCCCTATTAATCTTGTAGTGTTTCCAAGAACACTTGGTAGGTACCATCAGCGACCAATTTGGGACAGACAATTAATTCTGCAAAGATAAGTCAATAACTAAAAAAGGGTAACAATGTTCCTATACTGCTCGAGAAAGAATACACCTCTTTCTGTGTCCTATGTATATCTTCAAACTCCCTATTAGCCTTGTAGTGTTTCCAAGAACCCTTGGTAGGCACCATCAGTGATCAATTTGGGACAGACAATTAATTCTGCACAAAGATAAATCAATAACCAAAAAAGGGTAACAATGTTCCTATACTGCTCAGAACTAGAACTGATGTTGGTTGGCATTTTGGTTCCTTCCATTCTGAGCTTGATCACACACACAGCATTGAGCTCCTTCACCACGGAGAGAACGTAAAAAAATAACAAGACAACCCTTCCAAAGAAAGAGGTTTGCTGACTAGAATTCACATCTGAATGGAAATTTTGCTCTTGATACAATTTTTTCAGTACCAACACAGGGAGACTTATGCTCATGTCTGAACGAAAGGTCTTATGGGTTTACTTGTTCTTCAAGAAAATATAAGCCAGATTTGTACCACTAATTGATTTGGATTGTCACCTTAAAAGAGTGTCCAAAGAACAAACATCAATATTTTGGTGGATATGCAAATTTTTCAGATATTAAGAGGAAGGCGGGAGAAAAAATATTACCAACCATCCAAGTCTAGCATAGGGTGAAGTCAGAAAATATGAAGCCTTTGGCTGGGAGATGTGCTGAGAAGATTTCTGGTGTGCTAATGCTCTCCAGACACTGCTTGCAAAAGCACGGTTTATCAAGCGGAGGGAATTCTGAAACAAAAATAACAAAGAGACACAAGAATGGCTGAAACTCGAGAACATCAGGGAACACCTCAAAAGACAAGTCACCAACGGTGGAAATCACCACGTTGATCTAAGTGGACTCTGAGTCAGGACATAAGCACCACTTCAGAAAGAGACAAAAATCTGTCTGCTCTAAATGGAGCACTGCTAATTGTTCACTGCTATGCTTTGTTGGGATTCTCAACCCCCCAAAGTGATCACATGATCCTGTAAAATGTAAAAAAATAAAGTGTAAATACTAAAAATATATTTGCCATTTTTGGCACTGCAAGATGTGTTCTAACTTCACTATACAATAAACAATGTGCAAAAATTGAATATTTACGATGCACTTCTAAATTAACAATTAAACTTCTAGATTAACAATGGTTCTGGAAGCTGCATAAAGTGAAGCTAGAGGCTTCTGTTAACATCCAGAGACTGTGCTCCATCGCGCAGCATTTCAGACAGAAATTAGAACAATTTTATGCTGACCTGAATTTTACCTGCTTCATCTGTCACTTCTCACTTACCGTTGCCCAAGATTCTATTTTGAAGTGAACTCCTCTGTCTGTATAATTTATATTCTTTCCAAGTGTTTTTGTAAGCAAAGAAGTTGTATTCTTGGGACGTTCATGCTTCGATTGTTTGTTTCTGCTGAAATAAAGAAGACAGCAATAGCAATTAATACAACTGAATTAATGACTTGAGTATTTTATGACAAAGCCAGCAGAGGCAAACATATTGCACGCAATCAGGTGGTCATTTCTCCCGTGTACAACTCCCAGTAAAGCTGGTTTCTCTTGAGATGTTTGCTCAGAGGAATGCATACACTTGTGCTCCAAACAGCTGAGTTCTGTATTTCTGTACGTAAATCAGGAGAGAATCACAGAATCTTCTAGGTTGGAAGGGACCTTAAAGATCATGTTCTCCAAGCCTTAAAGACTCATCTTCCATTAATGCATCTGAGATCCATAGGAACTGCTTTTAATTAAACGTCTTTTTAACTGAACCTCTGATTTAATCAATGGACTTAAGATAAGCAAAGGGATCACAGGCATCAGTAACACGTTGGAGTTTAGAGAGGGAATGTGGAGAGAAAAGAACGAACTCCTGTTAATTTGGCTGGTATGAAGTAAACTCAAGAATTAAATCTTCAAATTTTGAGTGAGAAGAAATAAAGTAAGAGGAGCAGCAATTAAATTCGTCTTATTACTCTTCTTTGTTGCAAGTCAAGCTAGAACCTCTCTGGCAAGGAGAAAGAATACACCTCTTTCTGTGTCCTATGTATATCTTCAAACTCCCTATTAGCCTTGTAGTGTTTCCAAGAACCCTTGGTAGGCACCATCAGTGATCAATTTGGGACAGACAATTAATTCTGCACAAAGATAAATCAATAACCAAAAAAGGGTAACAATGTTCCTATACTGCTCAGAACTAGAACTGATGTTGGTTGGCATTTTGGTTCCTTCCTTTCTGAGCTTGATCACACACACAGCATTGAGCTCCTTCACCACGGAGAGAACGTAAAAAAATAACAAGACAACCCTTCCAAAGAAAGAGGTTTGCTGACTAGAATTCACATCTGAATGGAAATTTTGCTCTTGATACAATTTTTTCAGTACCAACACAGGGAGACTTATGCTCATGTCTGAACGAAAGGTCTTATGGGTTTACTTGTTCTTCAAGAAAATATAAGCCAGATTTGTACCACTAATTGATTTGGATTGTCACCTTAAAAGAGTGTCCAAAGAACAAACATCAATATTTTGGTGGATATGCAAATTTTTCAGATATTAAGAGGAAGGCGGGAGAAAAAATATTACCAACCATCCAAGTCTAGCATAGGGTGAAGTCAGAAAATATGAAGCCTTTGGCTGGGAGATGTGCTGAGAAGATTTCTGGTGTGCTAATGCTCTCCAGACACTGCTTGCAAAAGCACGGTTTATCAAGCGGAGGGAATTCTGAAACAAAAATAACAAAGAGACACAAGAATGGCTGAAACTCGAGAACATCAGGGAACACCTCAAAAGACAAGTCACCAACGGTGGAAATCACCACGTTGATCTAAGTGGACTCTGAGTCAGGACATAAGCACCACTTCAGAAAGAGACAAAAATCTGTCTGCTCTAAATGGAGCACTGCTAATTGTTCACTGCTATGCTTTGTTGGGATTCTCAACCCCCCAAAGTGATCACATGATCCTGTAAAATGTAAAAAAATAAAGTGTAAATACTAAAAATATATTTGCCATTTTTGGCACTGCAAGATGTGTTCTAACTTCACTATACAATAAACAATGTGCAAAAATTGAATATTTACGATGCACTTCTAAATTAACAATTAAACTTCTAGATTAACAATGGTTCTGGAAGCTGCATAAAGTGAAGCTAGAGGCTTCTGTTAACATCCAGAGACTGTGCTCCATCGCGCAGCATTTCAGACAGAAATTAGAACAATTTTATGCTGACCTGAATTTTACCTGCTTCATCTGTCACTTCTCACTTACCGTTGCCCAAGATTCTATTTTGAAGTGAACTCCTCTGTCTGTATAATTTATATTCTTTCCAAGTGTTTTTGTAAGCAAAGAAGTTGTATTCTTGGGACGTTCATGCTTCGATTGTTTGTTTCTGCTGAAATAAAGAAGACACCAATAGCAATTAATACAACTGAATTAATGACTTGAGTATTTTATGACAAAGCCAGCAGAGGCAAACATATTGCACGCAATCAGGTGGTCATTTCTCCCGTGTACAACTCCCAGTAAAGCTGGTTTCTCTTGAGATGTTTGCTCAGAGGAATGCATACACTTGTGCTCCAAACAGCTGAGTTCTGTATTTCTGTACGTAAATCAGGAGAGAATCACAGAATCTTCTAGGTTGGAAGGGACCTTAAAGATCATGTTCTCCAACCGTCAACCTAACTGACAAAAATAGACACCCACACAACAAACAAGGAGCATCATCACTAACCCATACCTCCCAGCACTACATCAACCCGTCTCTTGAACACCTCCAGGGATGGTGCCTCAACCACCTCCCTGGGCAGCCCATTTCAATGTCTGAAAAGAACTTAGCTATGATAAGGGTTAACATGAATCAGTAGTTTCACGATTAGTGGAACAAAAAGTGACAACCAAATAAAGTGCACAGACTTAGCACTTCAAGCACTAGGTAAGTATTCTTGTCTTGGAAGGTAAAAATGTCTCCTAGGTTGTGCACAGTTCCCCTATACAAAGCTTGCTTATTCACGTTAGGAGGATCTCAAATTCACACACAAGAAGATAAACCAAAAGTTCTCTTAATTTTCCATAGCTCACTGTCCACACCAGAGGAAAGCTCTCCTTTCACCAGTAAATCTTTGAACTCTCAGAGCTATACTCACACAGAATTGTCCTTGTGCTCCCCTGTGCAGTTTATAAACAGCGGGTTCTCAGGCAGGAAGCAGCCACTAAAGAAACACACAGAACACATTTTAAAGATTTTTTCCACAATGGAAGTGAAACTAAAAAAATGCAACTTTTATCCTCAGTGATATCCTCTGTTAGAAGTCATCACTGTTCTCAAGAAACCCTGTTTATTCAAAATCAGAGCATCATTATAATCCTTAGAAACCCCTTTCATATTTATTCTAATGACCTTGATTAGGCTCTATATGAATCTCATATGTATTTATATAACTCTTCAAGGAAATTTACTGTCACATGTTCTGCTAATTCTGTTAATCTAAAGCACTTCTAATGGAAGTGCCATTCTGGAACAAAGAACACAACAGATTATGCCACGCTGTATTTAAACCATCATTTCCCAAAATAGCTGCAGTGATATTTTCTATGTAAATGGAAGGATTAATTGCCACAGTTGGTCTTACAAAGTTATTCACAGTAAGAGCACATTTGTAACAAAGCGGTACAAGGCTAGAACTTCTATAAAAATATATTATTCTAAGTACAAGTCTGAGTTTCCAGCACTATATATGCTTACTCTTTCTAATCCTATTTCCCTTAAGTGTCTGAAGGCAATACCTGGCCTCCCCTAGGAAGGGACACTGCTCAGACTGCCAGGCCAGGCAGAACCTCAGGGCACAGCTATATGATATTTAAGCAGGCCTTTAAGTATATCTTAAAGAATACCCCAAATTTTCCCTGTTAAGTATCAGCTGGACATGCCAGAGCCTTCCCTGGGGAGAGGAGTGTGAACATATAATACATGTGAACTCCAGGCCTGTGTAGTCCTGTGCACTGGGGTAAAAGACAGCCACAGAAATCCCTTGGTCCAAGTGAGGATTTAAAGCTCAGCACCTCTTCTAGGAAAGAACCTGCCTTCAGAAGAACAATTAAATGGGTGTCAGAACTTGGCTGCTGTGCTTCATATCGCAGGAAACACGCTATACCTGGTTCCGTTCTCCAGCATGTGGCTCGTCAGCTCAAAAATGTTGTTTGTCCAGAAGGCCATGTCATCCACTCCTCCAAGGAAATACTCATGGAACTTCTCCACCAGAAATGGAGATTTACTGGCATATGTTGGAAAAAGCTAAGAGGCAAGCAACATACTTAGTAAAATGGATTACCTTGTCTTCCCACTATATGTTGATTTTTATAAAGAAAACAGAAAACCAACCTTGGCAACAGCAAGCCTCTCTCCGTGCCTGAAAAAAAAAATAATCTTCAGAAATAAATTTGCTTCAGTAAATAATATTTACTTATTTAAGCAGTTCTTTTCAAGATTTATGTATGGTAAATACTATGCAAGTCACTACATTTCCTTGCTGGTTTTTAATACATTTTTAAAAGTTGCAATGTGAGAAATAATGATATTAACTTTATGGCTGCCCTTATTTTGGGGTGATACACAGTGTTTGCTGCGTGACTGCTGGTAATTACCTGAAATAAAGGATGCAGCTAGGCTGCTTAAGATATTAAAAAGCAGACATTGCCAAATAACAAAAAAGTTCCTTTTGAATTATTCTTGGACTTGAAAGGATCTACATGAAGTGTAGGTAAATGACCTCTTTAGGTGTGTACACTACCCCTTCAGTATGTGAAAATTATATTGCTAACATGCTAGAATGCAATGATACTTGAAGGCACAGCTGTTCTCAAATAATTAAGCATTAATGTGTTAAACAGCCAAGTTGTTGAATCTGTGGTGTAATAATGAATTTAAAAGTCATTAAGCAGTCCGAATTTGTATTCTAGCCATTAAAAAAATTCAGATGCTTTATGGTTTTGGGCTCTAGTAGGGAATCTAGATTGCTAGCCTTGATGTATAAGGCATTTCAAATAGGATTCTAAATTTTCCTACATATGTTTCTCTGATGAAAACCCAGACAAAGCTATTCAACTTACAGTTCAAGAAACAGCAGGTAAGTACAGTCAGTAATTGTGCTTTCAGTTACGACCTCTCTTCCATAAAATTCCTTATAGATAGCTGCTAGGTCTTTGACAGGTACATACCTAAAAACAAGACAAAGGTATTATAATAAGAAATTTTCCACATCACCTGACACAAGATTACAGTTTTTGTGATAACAATAGCCTGCTTTAAAATATTCTAAAGGTCATGAAGATTTACAGATGCTACAAAGACCAGGACTGCAGGTGCAGGTACTCTCTGCACAAAGGTTAGGATTAGGTTCTTCCTCTTATTTAGGTTCAAAGAAACCTGAAGAACCATTCCCCTGTGGCTACTGCTGGTAGAACTTCCACACTCCCCACACTGGTTCCCTGCCTCCATGATCACATACTCTTGGAGGATGTCCTCCAACTCTCTGCTGTGCCAAATCTACTCCTAGCCAAGCAGACATTTTCCACAGCTGTGCCAAAGTTGTATTAATCAAAGGTGCCTTCTACACCTAGATTAACTACATCCTACTTAAAAAAAAAGACTCAAATGACCTACTTTATCAGCAGAAAAAAAGGCATGGGAGTTTTTTATTTCAGTCAAAAACTGTGAGAAAAAAAAATGTGTTTATCCAAAACTGCTGCTTCTTTATATGCTTTTAAAACCTGCCTGAATTCCACAACATCTATAACCATAAACATCATCAATTTCCAAAACTTTAAATGGAAATCTAAGGAAGATTTATTTAACTGAGTTATTTAACTAATTGCTAGGACATTCCAGCAAATCATTTTCACTGATTATTTTATATATAACTACTCATAATTCCCCTCAGAGAGAAATAATTTAAATCTTTCTTGCTGTGTTCCTATGTGTAAAATTCTTTTTTGTTTTGTCCTTCCAGTTTGTCATGTCAGGGAACAGTAAATATGCATATAAGGAATGCCAAACTCAGAAAAATTCCAATAGCTGCAAGAGTTTCTTTTGAATGAAAGACAAAGGATAGCATTTTGTTAAAAACATAGCGTGTATGCAGAGTAAGCAGAAATAATTATTAAAGAAGGTAACCTCATTATCTTACCAATTCGAGGCCAGATAACTGAAGTCCAGCTCAAACTGACTCACTACATCTCCTCCTGCAGATAGAAGAATGAAAAAAACCCACAAAGCCCAACAAACCAAACCTGTTAAGTATTAATCATGGATAACAGCATGGATGAAGCTATGTATGCCTATGTTATCTATGTTTATACAGTAGATCCTCCAGCTATATATTTAGAATACATAAATGGTTCACCTGAAAGCATACTTTCAGAGAATAAGAATAGTGTAAAGTTTAAAAACACAGTAGTGACTCCCTTTAAATTTTTCTGACCTTCAGCCTGTGTTTTGGTTTTAATACAAATATCCACCTGCCCTATCATGTCTCCTGAAACATGGAGCATGAGAACAGGTATAGAAAGGCTTTGCAAACTATAGGGGAGAGTGAGAATACAGTGTCCTTAGGACTCATTCTTGGCTCCTGTGTTGCACAGGGTAAGAGCCAGAATCACCCATGTGGTTTTGAAGGGGACTAGTTATTCCAAAGGAAGGATCTACAATGAGCAAACAGGAGCATTACCAAAATCGCCAACATTGTGAGCTTCTGAGTATGAACCATGAAAATCGATCTGCAGAAAGAGAAAAAAAAAAAGAAAAAAGAGAACCGTCCGTTTATTTCACTCATCCTTCCATACAAACATAGGAGCAGAAACAAATTGTCCAAGCAGCACTGAAGTTCACAGATCCCAAACCTTCGTTCTTATGGAATGTGTGACATTGCACCTCTTTGAAGATCTTCCTGAAACAAGGCTCCAGCTTTTCTCTGCCCTCCCCACCAGAGTCCAAAGCTAAGCTATCAATTCCAATACAGTCAGTTAAGTTAAAAAAAATAAAATAATACAGGCTTACTTCTCCCATGGCCTTCAGAAATCCTTGGTCGATGCCCAGGCTATGCCAGCTAACATCTGCCACCATATGTGAAGCAATTCCAAACAGGAAAGCCACCAGCTTCTCTGTAGCCTACACAACAACAATCCACGTGTAACATCAGTAATTTTACTCCGGTCTTTAAGAAGTAAGCATTTTACATATGTGCATTATACAGGGATAGAGGTTAGAAACTCTTACAATCCAAGAACTTAGCGTGACAAAGTGTTGGCCGCTTATTCCTTGATGCTGAAGTCACTTTTTGTGACTTGAGAAGCTTTAAGCACTTTGTACAGTCCAAGGCCAAAGAATTACATGGCTAACGTCAGGATAACTTGTGTATTTCAAGTTAGATGTGTACTAAAGTCTTTTTCTGGACTGGGGACAAACACTTCCACTGCCAATGAATGAACCTCCTCTGTCACCACTGAGCTGTGCAGGTACACACAGGAGAGAAAGACCTTTCTGTGCGAGTGCTGTTCGCTGTAAAAGTACCTGATCAAAGACCAGGTATGAAATCACTCATCTTATTCTTTCAATTTCTCCAGAAAAGACTTCTCTGCATTGAAGCATTGTAAGTTCCAGAGGTCTTATAAGAATCTGTAATTGAATAATATAAAAATCTGTAACTGAATCATATTTTTTGATTAATTTATACTGCCCGAGGGTTAACAGTTCACAAGATCAGTCCTACCAATGGCCAGTCAAAAGACAGGCAGATTTGTTTAGGTTTTAAAGAGTTCATGTTTTCAAACACTGTTCCACCTGTATGATTCTCCAGAGCAGGGAGAGAACAGCAAATTCTCCAATAAGGAAAATAAAACAGTATTACTCTTAAAATCATAGACTTTTGATAACTTGTATTTCTTCTGCTCCTATGCAGCTCATATACTATTAAGAAGAGCAAATCAGGACTAAGTCCAAGATTTCACAAGTGAGAATTCTGAACGATGCCTGATTTCCAAGTGGCAAACACTTAACCAGATCTGAAAATAATGCAAGACCACCAATTCCATTTCAAAGTTTGGACCCATGAAATGTATCATAAGCACCAGACCACACTGGAGATAGACTTTGTGTGGAAACTGTCATTTTTTTGTCTGGTAAAGATGAAAACAGGATCTTAAATGTTCCCATATCAGCAGAGACTTTCATTTAAAAACATACACTTTTTTTTCTACACTTCCCAAAGGATGACATTACAACAACAAGTGAAGGTGAAGGAAACAGTAGAATGCAAAGTTAAAAGTTAATGAAATTCTCTTACCTCCTCCCAAGGCTGAGGATAATTCTTTCTGATGTAGTCAATACTTGCACTGAGAAATGGTGACCAGTGAGTGTCCTCAGACACATCATGGAATATTCCTATTGCAATGAAATCATATCAGTATTTGATTTATTCTTTGGGGAAGAAAAAAAAAAAAAAGAAAAAAAAGACAAAGTTTTTCTCCATGAAAAATAACCACAGACTTTTGTTCAATTTCCTATCCTACAGACGATACATTTTGCAAACCACTTATATGAGGAGCCAAATGAGATGTATTTTTATATGATATATACTGTCAAAAGAGATATAGATTTACCTTCTATGATTTTGGTTTGAAGCATCTGAAAATTTTGTGCCTGCTCCCTTTTTCTGTGCCTGTGAGTAGGTACAGTACAACGAAAAACTGCCTCCCAAGAGGCGAGGATAAGGACAGCTGACAGAGAAGCTGTTGACTAAATGAATGCATCAAATTGTGTGGCAGAAAAGCTGATGGGCATGGCAGCCAACTCAAAATATCATGCTCTGGGACAGGTATCAGCTTCCTCAGGGTGGAGGAGAGCTATGTCATCACCATCATTTTCAATAGAATGGCAAACTTGCCAAGATAGAGTCAGTGCAGAAGAAGAAAAAGAGCAGAGGAAAGCAAGAAAAATTAGGTTTTCCTTTGAAGCATCAATTATTATTCTCACTTGGATTTATGCAGAAGAGATTACAGAATCACAGAATGATACGGCGTTGGAAGGGACCTCTGGAGATCATCTGGTCCAACCCCCCTGCCAAAGCAGGTCCACCCAGAGCAGGTTGCACAGGAACTTGTCCAGGTGGGTTTGGAACGTCCCCAGAGACAGAGACTCTGCCACCTCTCTGGGCAGCCTCTTCCAGGGCTCTGCCACCCTCACAGGAAAGAAGTTCCTCCTTATGTGTAGATGGAACTTCTTATGTTCAAGTTTTTGCCCATTATCTCTTATCCTGTCACTGGGCACCACTGAAGAAAGACTGGCCCCATCCTCTTGATACCCACCCTTTAAGTATTTATAGGCATTGATCAGTTTCCCCCTCAGTCTTCTCTTCTCCAGACTAAAAAGACCCAAGTCCCTCAGTCTTTCCTCGTAAAAGAGATGTTCTAGCCCTTAATCATCTCTGTATTATCACCTCTGTTGTACCCTGACCAGCAGTTCCCTGTCCTTCTTGAACTGGGGAGCCCAGAACTGGACAGATTATGTAGGACCTAACAGTGACCTTGCCTAAAAATTTCTGTGTACCTACATAAAGCCAAGGGCAAAGTGATGCTGATGTGACAAGACCAAGCACCACAATATTAAATTCTCTAAGGGGGGAAACAGTAGGCAGGAGACAGATTGTTCAGACTGTCAGTACGCTTGGAGGAAGAGCATGTTTGTTCACACAGAACTCTGAAACTGCAGATTAAGGTATATTAAATGCTGAAGCCAAGAGAGGAGACCTTGTGGGTGATTGAGTCACCTCTTGGTCTCTTGACATTTTACAGTGCAGTTGAACTAGATAACATAAGGATGGGATTTGCTAGACCAAAATTACACGTTCACAGACTAGACTTCTACGTCTATGTTTGTCTCCTGCCTGGAAAGGCAGCTGAGATGGCTTTGCTCTTGGATCTAGAGGCACACCATTAAAACGGCTCAGATCTGCAGAGGTACCTATTTCTTCCACAATGACTGAGAATGCTGACAAGTGGCCCAAGTATAAAACGAGGCAAGATAGACCCCCAACTTCAGTGAAGGAAAGCTACTTTCTAAAAACATTTCCAAATGTATTATTCTCTTATAAAGGTCTACAAAAAGGCTCAAAATATTAACAAAAACGGCAGATCCTTTTGCAAGAAGGTATCTTTGGCCATACCCATTTTCTTACAACATCATAACTATTTTCAACCCTACTAAATTCTATAAGATTTTCACATAAGAATACAGTTGTTACAATGTTAGACTTATACAGCTTTTCTTACCACTTTTGCAGATTGAAGGATAAAAGGCATCAGGATAAATGCTCCCAGCCTGAAATGCGTCTTGGTGGTTTAGCAATAACTGGAAAAGAACGGGGAAAAAGGAATCAGAATGTTATCACACAGCACAAAACCCCAGTTTACAGTCAATATCAAAGATAAAAATTAAATATTCAGCAAGATACAACTATTATCTTGGTAAAATACGTTATTTCAGTATTGTCGTCAATCCCCATCAGTCCCCTTGCTCCCCTCTCCCTTTTAAGTGAAACTAAGCTACTCAGTATATACTGTAATTTGAAAGGCCGTTTAGGAAAGTATTTGTATGATCTAATTTAGGTGTTGGTGAGGTCACCTTCTGAAGGTGCCCTTCTCCTCTTGGTCTAAACATGAAGCCTGGGCTGTGACTTCCATCCTCTGAATCACAGCAGGGCTGTCTGCAGCAGACAACATGACTACTTCCCTTGAGTGATTTTCTACTGTGATCAAAGCTCAAGTTATATAAAATGGTCTTCTTTTACATTGTCCTCAAGGATATTAAAATGTTTTAAACACACGTATGTGTTTTGTTTCTGCGTTTATGAAAACTGTCCACATGCTTACAGTGGTCTGCTGCTCTGCTCTTTCTTTTCCGTGAAAGAAAAAGCTATTTGCACCCATCAGAAATCAGTTAAATAATATATCTGGTGGACTAAATTCAAAACCCTGCTGTCAGTTTGCTGTCCTTGTGTTTATTAGATCTCCTTTCTGAAAGTCCTTTACTGATTCTCCTAACACAAGTACTCACAGAGGGTATGACTTAAGAAGATGGGAAAACATGCAGGAAACCACACACAATTATTATACACTTTATTATAACTGCTACATATTTGTAATAGTGTTCAGAAGGAGTCAAATGATTTTCACTAAAAAAGGTAAAAATACAGACTAGGCAGAATATTTACACAGGCATTACTGAGAATAAAGAAAAGAAAGGCAAGAAGACAGAGAGAAAAACTTTCAGAAGAAAAGTGTACAAAATTAAGTGATAATATGCTTCCTACCTGTCTCAGAAAAACTTTCAGAAGAAAAGGGTGATAATTAAGTGATAATATGCTTCCTACCTGTCTATAATTAACATTCCCTTCACGCTTAATGAAAAATTCCAGAGCTCTATGTGCTGAAAAACAACATATTGAAGTATTGATTTACAGGTACTGTGGCCAGGCCCATGTTTCATTAGAAGCATTATCAAAAGCAGAACACACGGCGTCGTCTCACCTAAGCCAAGTGCCACAGGTGCATGAAACATGATTTCTCAACAAAATGCTGCACCTGTGAGAGGGTGTGTTTTCTCACCTAGGGAGCTAATAAGGAAATGCTGTTTCTGCTGCACATCTGGGCACTGAGATCTCCTCAGTCTCTCTCTGAGACTCCCAACCTTGACCAACAAAGCTGGAGTTCCTTCTCAGGAACTCCCCAAGTCCAGAACTGAGCTCCAGCAGTGAACTGACACCATCACAGCCAGCAAATACCACGTACAGATCATAAAATTCTAGCTGTAAAGGACCCACATGAATTGTATTTTAAATTTCACTGCTGCCCCTATCATTGAAAAAGGTATGTCAGAAATCAACGCGGATGTTTAACAGTTTGACTAATTTTTAACATGTATGAAAACCAACAAAAATATGAAGCCAGCAAGGTAAATAATACTATTTATTCACTGAGTAGGCAGACATTCTTACTGCCAAAATATTTATTGTGCAAGCATAACAAGACAATGAAACAAGCTGACATCACTTTTCTTTAAGGAAGTTTCCTTCTAACTAATGGTAGATCCCAGAGGTGATCTGTTAACACTATTCTAAAAATACTCAATGTTGCCTCTAAGATTATTCAGTTGAAATTGCATGGATGGGTTATTTATTGTCTTACCTTCCCACACGACGTTTTACTCCTTGCTAGAAGCTATTTACAAACTAAAACTGACTGAGATAACCCAGAATACGCTGAATGTAATTTGATCCTTACCAGTTAAATCACATCACAAAAAAAACCCACCCCACTCTCATTCTGGAAAAAGATCAAGACAAAACTGTGTGGGTTTGAATCATCTCTCACTTTGAATTTTACCCACGGATCTAAACTATCCTACACAAATACGTTAAAGATACCTCAAGGATCAACCTTGCACCAAAACAAGAGTAACGTAAAAATAGTAATTAAAAAAATTTTTAAATTTTAAAATTAAAAAAAAAAAAAAAAAACTCTACCACTTTGAGGGTCAGCCAGTTCAAGACACATCTCCCCTTGCAGCATGGGAGAACCTCAGTTTAGCAGTTTGTTTTTTCATCCTCCCCCTCTCCCTCAACCTCTCTCATTATTCCTGTGGGACCAGGTCCTACAAGTTGACACTTAAAACAAGTTTCATGGTGCATCCCCACCATTCCACAGAGCCCCCGTGGGTCTGAGAGCAGCCCCCCCAGGGGGGGAAAAAAAAGAGCCTCCCCACTCAGAGCTGCCTCCAGCAAGGAGGCCGTGGCAATGTAGGACACTGCACAGCTCTGCCAAGCACGCCGAACACCATCAACATTTTGAACAGGCAGAGCTTTTCACCGTTTCAAAAGTACTTTCAGAATTCTGTCCAGGAGAGACTTTGGTGCTGGCTTTGAGTCGGAGGAGTTTTATTCTACAGTTTGTTGTTTTGTTTTTTCCTGGAATATTCAGTATTTGGATTTGGCACTAACTTTCAGTATCTTATCATCATGGACTCTTATTTGCACATTCATAAAAGCATTGATTTTAGCAGCACCAGAGCTAATCCCAGCTTAATGTCATTTTCAGACAAACAGACAAAATTCGTTGTAAATAATGACCCAACAGTTCAGTGTACACATTACTCCTCAGATAACCTAGATCTTTAACTTATATAAATGCAGGTTTTCTGCAATATGCTTCCTTGATTAGAAAAAAAAAGGGCTGCTTTGGGACAGATCCGTAAACACTTGTTTCTCTTCGTAAATTTCTTGCAAATACACTCTGTTCTGCCAAATCGGTTTTCAGAAGCTTATACTCAGTAATTAGAGCCCTGAGCCTGCACAGATGTATGCACTTGCCAAACCTCAGGCAGAGCAACTTCTCCTACCAATTACCATGGGTTTCTTGACATATCGTTAGGAAAAGGGAATGTTTGCAGGACGCTGAGCAAGGGTACAACACTCAGTAAGGGAACATACTCTCAGTCTCAAATGAACACCACGAATCATCCCAGCCTTGAACCTGTTCAGAGGTGCATGTATTCAGCACTTAAAGTCTGGGAAGATGACCTGAATAGAAACAACATCTGAGAAATGGATTTAGAATCAAAACCAGAAGAACAAACAATTAAAACCGCCCATTTTTTATGAGTAAACATTTCAGAATAAGCTCATGCTACTCCTGAGTGTTCCTGCAGGAACTGCAGCAGAAACCAGATTTTAAAAATAACACATGCAAACAAGACATTCAAAACCGAAGTATTTCCCCACTTTGACGTTCACTCAGTTCTCTCCTTCATTGTCTACAAATCTAGGATTTTAAGGCTACAAAGAGCAACCTACCTAGAGACACAGAACAAAATTGTCATCATGTTAGCCGTAGAAACCAACACATTACAGCATTTTACTTATTTTATGCAGGTATGGGAAAGTTAATACATGGCGATTTGAAAACAGAGCTACCACAAATGACCTGGGTGATTGTCTAGTTTAAATATAACAATCCCATCAATTGCGTAAAGTATTCCTCTTCTTTCTCCAAACCAAACCCTGTCTGCCTAAGGCTCACAGACACAAACATTCCAGTTACATAATGCCTGTGTTTTAGAAGACGGAAAAATACGCCACCAAACTGATTCAAGCATTTTGCTTATAAAAACAGTAAAGTTTCAAACACCCAAACCAAACTATTCATCTGTCCTATGTCTGCCACCTCTCTGGGCAGCCTCTTCCAGGGCTCTGCCACCCTCACAGGAAAGAAGTTCCTCCTTATGTGTAGATGGAACTTCTTATGTTCAAGTTTTTGCCCATTATCTCTTATCCTGTCACTGGGCACCACTGAAGAAAGACTGGCCCCATCCTCTTGATACCCACCCTTTAAGTATTTATAGGCATTGATCAGTTTCCCCCTCAGTCTTCTCATCTCCAGACTAAAAAGACCCAAGTCCCTCAGTCTTTTCTCATAAGAGAGATGTTCTAGTCCCTCATCATCTTTGTGGTCCTCTGTTGTACCCTGACCAGCAGTTCCCTGTCCTTCTTGAACTGGGGAGCCCAGAACTGGACAGATTATGTAGGACCTAACAGTGACCTTGCCTAAAAATTTCTGTGTACCTACATAAAGCCAAGGGCAAAGTGATGCTGATGTGACAAGACCAAGCACCACAATATTAAATTCTCTAAGGGGGGAAACAGTAGGCAGGAGACAGATTGTTCAGACTGTCAGTACGCTTGGAGGAAGAGCATGTTTGTTCACACAGAACTCTGAAACTGCAGATTAAGGTATATTAAATGCTGAAGCCAAGAGAGGAGACCTTGTGGGTGATTGAGTCACCTCTTGGTCTCTTGACATTTTACAGTGCAGTTGAACTAGATAACATAAGGATGGGATTTGCTAGACCAAAATTACACGTTCACAGACTAGACTTCTACGTCTATGTTTGTCTCCTGCCTGGAAAGGCAGCTGAGATGGCTTTGCTCTTGGATCTAGAGGCACACCATTAAAACGGCTCAGATCTGCAGAGGTACCTATTTCTTCCACAATGACTGAGAATGCTGACAAGTGGCCCAAGTATAAAACGAGGCAAGATAGACCCCCAACTTCAGTGAAGGAAAGCTACTTTCTAAAAACATTTCCAAATGTATTATTCTCTTATAAAGGTCTACAAAAAGGCTCAAAATATTAACAAAAACGGCAGATCCTTTTGCAAGAAGGTATCTTTGGCCATACCCATTTTCTTACAACATCATAACTATTTTCAACCCTACTAAATTCTATAAGATTTTCACATAAGAATACAGTTGTTACAATGTTAGACTTATACAGCTTTTCTTACCACTTTTGCAGATTGAAGGATAAAAGGCATCAGGATAAATGCTCCCAGCCTGAAATGCGTCTTGGTGGTTTAGCAATAACTGGAAAAGAACGGGGAAAAAGGAATCAGAATGTTATCACACAGCACAAAACCCCAGTTTACAGTCAATATCAAAGATAAAAATTAAATATTCAGCAAGATACAACTATTATCTTGGTAAAATACGTTATTTCAGTATTGTCGTCAATCCCCATCAGTCCCCTTGCTCCCCTCTCCCTTTTAAGTGAAACTAAGCTACTCAGTATATACTGTAATTTGAAAGGCCGTTTAGGAAAGTATTTGTATGATCTAATTTAGGTGTTGGTGAGGTCACCTTCTGAAGGTGCCCTTCTCCTCTTGGTCTAAACATGAAGCCTGGGCTGTGACTTCCATCCTCTGAATCACAGCAGGGCTGTCTGCAGCAGACAACATGACTACTTCCCTTGAGTGATTTTCTACTGTGATCAAAGCTCAAGTTATATAAAATGGTCTTCTTTTACATTGTCCTCAAGGATATTAAAATGTTTTAAACACACGTATGTGTTTTGTTTCTGCGTTTATGAAAACTGTCCACATGCTTACAGTGGTCTGCTGCTCTGCTCTTTCTTTTCCGTGAAAGAAAAAGCTATTTGCACCCATCAGAAATCAGTTAAATAATATATCTGGTGGACTAAATTCAAAACCCTGCTGTCAGTTTGCTGTCCTTGTGTTTATTAGATCTCCTTTCTGAAAGTCCTTTACTGATTCTCCTAACACAAGTACTCACAGAGGGTATGACTTAAGAAGATGGGAAAACATGCAGGAAACCACACACAATTATTATACACTTTATTATAACTGCTACATATTTGTAATAGTGTTCAGAAGGAGTCAAATGATTTTCACTAAAAAAGGTAAAAATACAGACTAGGCAGAATATTTACACAGGCATTACTGAGAATAAAGAAAAGAAAGGCAAGAAGACAGACAGAAAAACTTTCAGAAGAAAAGGGTGATAATTAAGTGATAATATGCTTCCTACCTGTCTATAATTAACATTCCCTTCACGCTTAATGAAAAATTCCAGAGCTCTATGTGCTGAAAAACAACATATTGAAGTATTGATTTACAGGTACTGTGGCCAGGCCCATGTTTCTTTAGAAGCATTATCAAAAGCAGAATACACCACGATGTCTCACCTAAGCCAAGTGCCACAGGTGCATGAAACATCATTTCTAAACAAAATGCTGCACCTGTGAGAGGGTGTGTTTTCTCACCTAGGGAGCTAATAAGGAAATGCTGTTTCTGTTGCACATCTGGGCACTGAGGTCTCCTCAGTCTCTCTCTGAGACTCCCAACCTTGACCAACAAAGCTGGAGTTCCTTCTCAGGAACTCCCCAAGTCCAGAACTGAGCTCCAGCAGTGAACTGACACCATCACAGCCAGCAAATACCACGTACAGATCATAAAATTCTAGCTGTAAAGGACCCACATGAATTGTATTTTAAATTTCACTGCTGCCCCTATCATTGAAAAAGGTATGTCAGAAATCAACGCGGATGTTTAACAGTTTGACTAATTTTTAACATGTATGAAAACCAACAAAAATATGAAGCCAGCAAGGTAAATAATACTATTTATTCACTGAGTAGGCAGACATTCTTACTGCCAAAATATTTATTGTGCAAGCATAACAAGACAATGAAACAAGCTGACATCACTTTTCTTTAAGGAAGTTTCCTTCTAACTAATGGTAGATCCCAGAGGTGATCTGTTAACACTATTCTAAAAATACTCAATGTTGCCTCTAAGATTATTCAGTTGAAATTGCATGGATGGGTTATTTATTGTCTTACCTTCCCACACGACGTTTTACTCCTTGCTAGAAGCTATTTACAAACTAAAACTGACTGAGATAACCCAGAATACGCTGAATGTAATTTGATCCTTACCAGTTAAATCACATCACAAAAAAAACCCACCCCACTCTCATTCTGGAAAAAGATCAAGACAAAACTGTGTGGGTTTGAATCATCTCTCACTTTGAATTTTACCCACGGATCTAAACTATCCTACACAAATACGTTAAAGATACCTTAAGGATCAATCTTGCACCAAAACAAGAGCAATGTAAAAATAGTAATTAAAAAAAAAGTCTATCACTTTGAGGTTCAGCTGGTTCAAGACACATCTCCCCTTGCAGCATGGGAGAACCTCAGTTTAGCAGTTTGTTTTTTCATCCTCCCCCTCTCCCTCAACCTCTCTCATTATTCCTGTGGGACCAGGTCCTACAAGTTGACACTTAAAACAAGTTTCATGGTGCATCCCCACCATTCCACAGAGCCCCCGTGGGTCTGAGAGCAGCCCCCCCAGGGGGGGAAAAAAAAGAGCCTCCCCACTCAGAGCTGCCTCCAGCAAGGAGGCCGTGGCAATGTAGGACACTGCACAGCTCTGCCAAGCACGCCGAACACCATCAACATTTTGAACAGGCAGAGCTTTTCACCGTTTCAAAAGTACTTTCAGAATTCTGTCCAGGAGAGACTTTGGTGCTGGCTTTGAGTCGGAGGAGTTTTATTCTACAGTTTGTTGTTTTGTTTTTTCCTGGAATATTCAGTATTTGGATTTGGCAATAACTTTCAGTATCTTATCATCATGGACTTTTATTTGCACATTCATAAAAGCATTGATTTTAGCAGCACCAGAGCTAATCCCAGCTTAATGTCATTTTCAGACAAACAGACAAAATTCGTTGTAAATAATGACCCAACAGTTCAGTGTACACATTACTCCTCAGATAACCTAGATCTTTAACTTATATAAATGCAGGTTTTCTGCAATATGCTTCCTTGATTAGAAAAAAAAAGGGCTGCTTTGGGACAGATCCGTAAACACTTGTTTCTCTTCGTAAATTGCTTGCAAATACACTCTGTTCTGCCAAATCGGTTTTCAGAAGCTTATACTCAGTAATTAGAGCCCTGAGCCTGCACAGATGTATGCACTTGCCAAACCTCAGGCAGAGCAACTTCTCCTACCAATTACCATGGGTTTCTTGACATATCGTTAGGAAAAGGGAATGTTTGCAGGACGCTGAGCAAGGGTACAACACTCAGTAAGGGAACATACTCTCAGTCTCAAATGAACACCACGAATCATCCCAGCCTTGAACCTGTTCAGAGGTGCATGTATTCAGCACTTAAAGTCTGGGAAGATGACCTGAATAGAAACAACATCTGAGAAATGGATTTAGAATCAAAACCAGAAGAACAAACAATTAAAACCGCCCATTTTTTATGAGTAAACATTTCAGAATAAGCTCATGCTACTCCTGAGTGTTCCTGCAGGAACTGCAGCAGAAACCAGATTTTAAAAATAACACATGCAAACAAGACATTCAAAACCGAAGTATTTCCCCACTTTGACGTTCACTCAGTTCTCTCCTTCATTGTCTACAAATCTAGGATTTTAAGGCTACAAAGAGCAACCTACCTAGAGACACAGAACAAAATTGTCATCATGTTAGCCGTAGAAACCAACACATTACAGCATTTTACTTATTTTATGCAGGTATGGGAAAGTTAATACATGGCGATTTGAAAACAGAGCTACCACAAATGACCTGGGTGATTGTCTAGTTTAAATATAACAATCCCATCAATTGCGTAAAGTATTCCTCTTCTTTCTCCAAACCAAACCCTGTCTGCCTAAGGCTCACAGACACAAACATTCCAGTTACATAATGCCTGTGTTTTAGAAGACGGAAAAATACGCCACCAAACTGATTCAAGCATTTTGCTTATAAAAACAGTAAAGTTTCAAACACCCAAACCAAACTATTCATCTGTCCTATGTGTTATTCACATTTTTAAAAATTATATAGAATGCTTACTGCTTTAACATTATTTCCTCCCTTTGCTTTCCAGCCGAATCTGAACTTAATTCTCTTGCCAAGCAACTCAAAAGACACAAAAATTCATTCTAAACATGTCTTACCGATTTCAACGTGCGTTGAAATTCCACTTGGGATACATCTTTGGCAGAAATGGCATAGTATAACCACGAAAGCACACCACATCTTCAAACCAGCCATGATGCTGGCTGGAACTCCGATTTTCGGAAGCCTGGAGCAGTAGCACTGTGACCTTTGAAATGTAGGTTACGGAGCATGCCTTTTCTTTCAGACATATTGCTGACACAGCAAGCAAAGGAAGGGCAGTCCTCCCGCTGCTCGCCCAGCTCATGGGGCACTCGCCTTACAACAGCTACGTCACATTTCAAAAAAAATGAAAAAGTCAATTGCCAAAGCAGCATTTGTAAAAAAACCACAAGCTTCCGAGTAGTAGGTGATACAAATACGTAGGTTTTGGTGAGCTGATAGGGCATTGCACATATGTGTTTGGGTCTTATGATCCAGACTGAAAGCCCAAAGGATGTATAGGGGGGAATTGAGAATACTCCTGGCACACGTATAGCTATAAACTTCTCTCTGAGCAGGCTGTGGCTCCCAGCCATCCTCATAGAATCATAGAATCGTCTAGGTTGGAAGAGACCCTTGGGATCATCGAGTCCAACCATCTCCCCTACTCTACAAAGTCTTCCCCTACACCATGTCCCTTAGCACTGCATCTAAACGGCCCTTAAACACAGCCAGGGATGGTGACTCCACCACCTCCCTGGGCAGCCTGTTCCAATGCCCTATCACTCTTTTGGTGAAAAATTCTTTCCTAATGTTCAATCTAAACCTACCCTGTTGGAGCCTGAAGCCATTCCCTCCATCCAACCCCAGCCTGGCCACCATACCAGTCCACTGCCCAGACAGTGGGCATGGCATGGCATGGCATGGCATGTGTGGTAGGGCCATGGTGGTCCCCAGCGAGATGGTGGCACTGGGCAGGGGTTTTACACCTGGCTGTGGGACTCACTAGCCACAGGTGAGGACCCACTAGCCAGTGTGACCACAGCCTGCAGCCAGCTGGTGCTCCGGGAGCCATACCAGGAGGCATAAGGCCCCCT